ACGACACAGCACTTGACCACCACGAGAAACGTCGACCGGATATTTTGCTAATTAAAATGTCTTTCGTCAATCCCCAAGCGAACGGCGGCTTTCGTTTACTATTGTTCTTTTATTGTATTAGAAATACATTGGCTCGATTGAAATTAAAAAAAGGAAGGCACAAATACATTAATAAGACTTATTTAAACCTAGTTACAACAAAGGACGAAATTTAAAAAAAGAACAACAGTGTTATTTGCCTAAAATCTAATGAATATAGAACATTTTTTTTTTACTTCAATGGCAAATCAGTCTTTAATCAAAGTTACAATACTGCCAGTACCGGGTAAAATAAATTAAATTAAATAAAATTGAAATGTCGAAATTCTTAAAACAAAATATTAAAAACTTTTTAAAACCTACCTACATTCAACAAAGAATGAAATTTAAAAAAAGAACAACGGCGTAATTTGCTTAAAGTTTAATGAATATAGATCTAAGTAATTACGAAGGTTCTAAATGCACAATTCGAACTGAACTTAGACAATACAACTTAGTAAGAACTTAGTACAAGTTAGCTAAGCAACGTATCACTTAATTAGTATTTCGGTAGTGAGTGTAATCTAACTTGTTCAACTTAGCAGACCTAATTAGTGGCGTCTTGTACCGTGTAGTAGTTTGTATGTTGATATACATATACCTAAGTATGCTTCGGATTTGCATAATATGCCTGTGAGTATAGCTGATGTTTTTTTATTTATTTATTTAGTTCCATCATCATCATCAGCCTATAAGTGCCCACTGATGAGCAAAGGCCTCTTCTCCCACGGAGGTGGTTTGAACATTAATCACCACGCTTGCTCAATGCGGGGTATTTCGAACTTATAATTAGGAATTATAATTAGAAAGTCCTGGTTTCCTCACTATGTTTACCTACATCGTATTAAACCTTATAATTACCACCACTGACATACCTTCACTATATGTCAATGGTGTCTAAATAATCATAGAAAGTACATAATTAACTCGGAAGAAGTCACATTGGTACTTGCCAGGTTTCGAACCCACACCTCATGTATGAGAAGCGGGCTCCTTAACCTCTGGGCCTCCACGACATTTATTAAGTTTAATAAACAATTATTTATGATTGAACTTGATTATCAGATGAACTTAAAGAAGACTCGGGGAAGAATGTATTCCAGTGAGATGCTTTGCTGGTAACGAAACAACAAAACAATACAACACAATGTAATATATTATTATTTTTAATACCTCTGCAATATTTATTGAAAAAGAACAAAGATTTCGTACTAAAGTAACTCAATAACATTGCATGAGAATCATAGAGTTATTGTTTAGTTTAATCAAATTAAGGCAATGCGGTGTTGTAAGATAAAACAAGGTCGTGTAGTTTCGGCAAAGAAGACATTTCTGAGTTAGTACGGCTAATAATCAGGCGGATGTCCTGATGTTAAACAAATTGCGCCGGTAGCTGTAATCAGCGGAGATAGAGGTGCGTTGCCTTTCTTTTTGGGACAGGGATTTAAAACACGGCGAAACATAATGCTAATTTTTTCACGTTAATCGAACCGGCTCATTCGTGCCGTCATGTCCAAAGCTCTTTTACACTCATTTATACTAATTTATAGCTAAAGAGTTTGTTTCTTTGTTTAAACATTCTAATCTCAGGAAATACTGATTTGAAAAATTATATTTTTACTGACTAGATTATTGATCGAGGAAGGCTTTAGTTATGATCTGTAGGAGCCGAGCAGCGGGTGAAACTGCGAGAGATTAGCTAGTTTATCGACATATAATTTCAACACAATATACTTACCGTAAAAGTTTTAAATCGTCTACAATATATGTTACCTCAAATTAAAATCATGTATAAATTAAGAACCTGTATCAATGAGATCAGATATTGAAATAGGGATGTCTCCTGGGTTTTAAAACATCAAGACTCTAATTAGTCCGTCAGTTACATTATAGAAAAATACTCGATACGTATTTTTTTTATTTGTCCGTAAGAATAATATTGACAAAGATACAGCAGCATTCGAATTCGGGAGTAGGGGCTCGTGACGTCACTCTTTCGTAAAAAAATTCGAGATAATGACGTAGCGCGAGCTTTCGCTGCGCTGTAACTTTGTTATTTTAAGTTTTAGAAGCAAAAGAAAAAATACGTATCTACTATTTTCTGGCGTTCTAAATGATGGAATTATTATTATTTTTTAGTCATCATCCCTATTATCATAACGATAAAAACTTTTAATACTTATAAAAATTAAATAAATTATTTCAAAGGGACTCAAAAATTACAACAAAATTAAAATCGAAGCGTTCCTCTAATCAAATTACTAGGCCTCCTATCAATTAGGCACGTTTCACGTCCAATTTGCGGCGCTCGCCTTCCGAACCGACCTCTTAAGTATTCAGGCCTAATATCCGGTTTGGCTACACACATCGACTTTAGGTTTCACTAATTAAATACAAATCTCAAGACAATTCGCGAGAAACGGATTTCTAAGGGGTTGAACCACACGAGGTGAAAATTTGCTAATTAATTTCGTTAGAAGGTCCCTAGTTTGTAATAGCGGTTTATTGTCTTTGATTTTAATTTAATTGGAATAAAGTAAATTGGTGAAATTTTTAATGAGAATATACAGTCAAGAGTCTCGTCGATCAAATTATTCTTGTAAACCAATTAGCGCAGGCCTACTTTTATTAGGTGTTTGAGGTAATTTTAAGTCCAGATTTCCTTGAGAGGCAAGCGTAATAAGTCACTGCGAACTCGGCCTAAAGCAGAAGAAGGAACTGGGTTTTTTGTAAACAAGAATCTCAAACTCTTTCATTTCATAGTCATTTGATGATTCTTCACAAAAAAGGTTGCCTCACAACGTTTTCTCTAACCGTTTTTCAGTGGTTTCTAAATAAAATTAGAAATTACATATATACTTAACTCGAAATAAGTCATAGCGCAAATCGCAAGCGGGCGTATGAACGCCCTTACCCAAGAGGACATAAATAAATCTCTTAATTTGAAATTTAAAAAGAATTTAATAATAAAATTTCATAAAAAGTCATATTTTATTTCAAATCTGTTACCATGCCAATAATAATATAGCTGATATGAATTTTCGCCTCGAGTGCAACCGCCCTTGATCCGTCAAGTTGAAACTAACGGAAGTTATAATTTATGAAGCAAGTTCCGGTGCCTTCCCCAAGTCTAGAGGTAATGAAACATCTGATGTATAATGCACAACGTCTACTTACACTTAAAACTACTACTAAGATTTTGTATTAAGGAAGTTTCCTAGACGTTAGAATTTAAAGGAACATGATAAGATAAGCTTAGGTGATATTTATTTAGTACTAGCTATTTTCGCGCAGCTCCATTTGATCGTAGCGTGATGTTTTATAGCTTATAGCACCCAGGAACATTGTAGCTATTTATCAGTGAAAGAATTTTGGTAATCCGACCAGCGGTTCGAAAGATTACCCCCTACATACAAACTTACAAATTTTACCTCTTTATAATATTAGTATAGAAAACATGAGTAGTTATAATAAAGAACGTATTACGGAATATATTATTTATTTTTCATTTATGGGACGTTAAAGCAGTCACTTTAACCAATAGTGCAAAAAGTAACATTTATAAGGTCAATAAGTACATAGCATAAAACAAAGTCTCTTTCTCTATATTCCTATGTAACTACGTTTTAATCTTTAATCTTTAAAATTGCGCAATCGATTTTAATGCGGTGTTTTTAATAAATAGACAGAGTGATTGAAGAGGAAGGTTTATGCGTATTGCATAATGATGAAATTTTGTCAGCAATGCACCCTTGCGAAGTCGGGTCGGGTCGCAAGTTTTTTTATGAAATAGATCGGCAAACGAGCAGACGAATTAACCTGATGGTAAGCAATCAGCGCCGCCCATGGACACCCGCAACGGAGGAGTTACGAGTGCGTTGCCGACCTGTTATGGATAAGGATTTCAGTTATTTAAGGATTGGGAAGGGATTGGGGGAGGGGATTGATTGGCCTTCCGGTAACCTCACTCACACGGTGAAACACAAGTTGAATAATACCTAATACAAAATAACAAGAAAAAAACAAAGATTCAAAAATACATTAAATAACGATAAAACCTAAAGGTCAAAAAACTAACACAACATATAAGTATACAGACAGTATAAATATATCGATTATAGGTACCTCTTCTCACGTGGAGAACGTTTGAGCATCCGTCACCAAGCTTGATCCAGGCGGATTGGCGTTTTGAAAATAGTCAAGTCATCATAAGTAATTCATAATCTGAAAAAGTACCTTATAGGTAGAGAGAGAAGAAGTTGCCCTGGTACTCGCCAGATTTCGCAGTTGCGTAGTCATGCACGTTAAGCAGCTTTACCTCAACTACTAACCTAACCTCATTAACTTTCTTCAGTTAGGTCTGGTAAACGCATACGTGGAACGTCATGTGCTCCTTCATACATTGGTCATAATGTTCATTATGTATCTGTTAGTGCGGGCGATGACGCGCATTATGCGAGGTCTTATACCCATTTAGCGGTAAGATCGCTTTGCCTGGATCCTACAACTTAGGTAATCCTAGTAATTCTACTGTAGAATACAAGTGCCCACCATTGCAACGATATTATGGTAATACATCAAATGTTTATATTTTTCGACCAAGAGCACAACCGTAATAATTAAAAAAACAAATGTTGTATATGTTGAATAAAAAAAAAAATTCGCTAGGCAGCTCGTGGCGAGCTGTCCCACCTGCCAGCCGGGAGGTGTCTTGTTCTTCACCTCCAGTTAGTCCTCGTGACGAGCTGGAGTGAACACTGATGAAGAACAAGCCCTCCTACCTCATTCTTGCCTTAATTGGCTGGCTTGAGTGGAGATTCGCAAGAGTAGGAGTTGAAGGAGACTCGGGGGAAGGGTGTATCTCAGTAAGGTGCTGGTAGGGGTTTTGACCGTACTTCCGGGATTGCTCTGATAGCCGTGGGATGCCTCTCCTTCCCCAAGCAGCTCAACGTATGTTGCCCCCGTGTCGCTACATGCTAGCGGCCGTTTCCGGGGACCCATTAATTGAGTTTGCCAGTCACCCCCTGCTGTTTATTCGTATGTATCAATATTGGTCAGGGGCAGGGGCCATAGTAGTTCCATAGTTATCATATCCACCAGTCCATAGCAACTCATACCCATAACCCTTTGAATTATTACCACATTTCGCAATAGTCCTGCATCAACCGGGGATTCTCCTTGGGTGCTCTTTCATAGTGCAAACAGGGATAATTGCCGGCTGATCTCCCATTTCACTTATATTAAAGTTGTTCAACGGGCCTCTGCGAGTTGGTTTCGGCCCCTCGTACGCCTTCCAAAGGTCCGGGATCCTGTGATCCCGTGAAAGGAAACGAACATACAAAAAAAATTTTTCATAAATATCCTTCATATCTATCTACTTACACAAAATATACGCTTGAGAGGAATAAAATACGTAACGCTATTTCATTAGTCATAAACTATACTACTACTGCTGCCATCTAGCAGTTTCATTTGGTACTTTTTAATGTGAGAGACGGAGTAACTCGTTCCCTTTCATATCACTTAGCCTATTGAAACTAATACTCTCATATATTAAGAGATGGCGCTATTTGCAAGATAATAGATTTGAGAAATGAAGAACCGGTCGACCAATTTCCGAAACCACATTAACATTAAAATAGTCTGTTCTTGAGTCATATAATTAGAAGGAAAAGAGTCACTGACTTTAATGTAAATAGATATTTTAAATAAAATTTTAAAATAAAATGGAAAGTGGAAAAGTAATTCAAATAAAAAAAACAGTTTTTATATTGATATTTATGGTACCTACTTAGGTACAGTTGTGTATATAGTATTCCTCACGGAATAGAAAATTCCTCCTTGATGAGAACCAAAGAGTATTAATATAAAAAGTATTAAAGTTGAGAACTATCAGATTGCAGAACAACACAAATCATTCACGTCATTCACAAATTGTCAAATACATTATTGTCAACCAAATTAATCAGAATGTGTGATCTTATAAAATCAATAGAGAAATGACTATTACTTTGAGCATATTAACTAAATTACATCTTATGGTCAATATTTTCTTTCAATTAAACGAATGTCGTGATTTAAATAACTTTCCAGATAACCCTACGCGGCGTGTTATTGATGGTAAACCAGCGAGTCCTGCTGAAGTGCCTTATCAGGTCAGACGATTATATACGCTCCAAATTTCCAGAACTTTAGTACGTCTACACACTTGCCGAGACTTGGCAATCGTCGACAAGATACAAGCTAGCTATAGCACTCAGAAACATTGTAGCTATCTATCAGGTATTTATCTATGAAATAATTTTGGAAAACCGACAAGCGGTTCCAAAGTTTACCTTCCCGCAATACAAAAACTTACAAATGTTATTCTTCACAATAATATTATAAGTATAGATAACGACTTCTTCAAGTAAATTAAGCGAAAAAGCTTTAATAGTTTTTAAGCCTCCAATTCGACTGTGTTGTGCGACATTGCCGCGACGAGCACGCTGCTTTTCAGTCCCGTTGTGAAAAGAAACTAGTCGAGCTTAATATCTTTTTCTATTACGTTGACTTTTCTTATCCATAGCTGGCTTCGCTGATCTTTACAAAGTGTAGTCAATCTATTAAAAAAACCTTAATTTGCTAATAAACTCTTTTTATCTTGTACTTCCGAAGATAGCCTTCAAAAAGAGGTCAGATCGAGATCATGGCTTGTTCTACACGTTCTGTGGTGGCGCCCTCATCGGCAGCACTAAGATATTGACAGCTGCACATTGCTTTGTTCGAGAGAATTATCCTTTATTCGCCATGTGTTTGGGGTAAAATACTTTTCTTTTTTGTTTTTTGTCGCACTAAACCAGTCGTGATCGTCGCTTGAGGGGCGGTCGTGAGGAAGAAAAAAACATCAACTAATTAACTTGCTCTAGATGGGGCGAGAGCTTCAGACCCTAACTGACTAAAAACCACCTCATACCTTCTGCTATATGCTGCAGGCCGGACCACGGCACATTAGATAAAAAGTAGCCTATGGCCTATTCCGGAGTGTATCCTATGCCTGTGCCAAACTTCATACAGACCCGTTCAGCCGTTTTGGTGTGATTGAGTAACAAACATCCAAAGATGCAAACATATCGTAATTTTCGCATTTATATTTATTTATTTAATAATTTATGTACACACAAACAGCACAGAGGAAAATACATAAAAAAATAAGAGTACAAAGGTGCTACTTATTCCTGTTGGAATTTCTTCCAGTAGACCTGAGACAGGAAATGTAATAAAAATATTATAATGTTAATAAGAAGTAAGATAAGATTAATATTTTTCCAGGTACACATATTTGGACGATTTAACAAACACATATGCTGTTGCGGGATCACTAAGAAATATAGCCCGTCAAAAAGAACCACATGAGCAATGGAGACCCATACATAATATAACTTATCCTCCTTCTTATAGATTTCCGGAAAATGACATTGCTGTTGTGGTAAGTTACCAGGACCGAAGGGGAAAAATGAAAACAGTAACGCTATTTGGTTTTTTATGTGATATAGGCAAAGGAGCGTATGCTCGGTAATCCGTGTGGATTACCTGAAGGTCAGCGCCGTTCATAGATACCCGCAACAATGCAGGAGTTACGAGTGCGTCGCCGACCTTTTGAGGATTTAGGAATTGGGGGGGGAAAGGATTGGGACTCTGGTTACCTCACTCCTCAGAATACAGAACAAACCAGAATCCGCGTTCACTCATAATTACATGTCGTCAAATGTGTCCAAAAACAATACGTCAATCCCCCCGCCAGCCGCACTTCCCACCCGCGTAGTGTTGCCGACAGTGGAACAATTCCCTTGGTTTGGGGTAATTTTATAACAGGAGGGTAAGATATGAGTAAACCCAACAAAATAGGTAAACTTACGATAAATGCAACAGACTATAGTCAGACTTTTAATTCGATTCCTGATTTGACATTGACCACTGTCATTTTGTGAAATAATGATACCACATATAACAGTGTAATGATGAACACAAAAATCGATAAACAATCAGTGAATCAGTTTCAGGAAGGCATTCAAAAAATTACGGCTACCGAATGGTCTAAATGTGTATCTCATGTTTTCAAAGAAGAGGAAAAAATAAGTAAGCTATATATGTTAATTGACAATAAAAATCACAGACACAATTCATAATAAACTAAACTTAAACATAAACTCTGCAAACAATTTCACTTTCTTCCACTTTATAAACGTCGTGAGATAGCTGACGTTACTTATATCCTATCCATAGCAAACGGTAGGGTTGATTGCCCTGAACTCCTTGAAAAGTTGTCTCTCAATGTTCCTTCGAAATCCTTTAGGAAGCACACACCTCTTTGTCCCCCGGTTGCAAATAGCAACTACAGGCAGAGCTCATTTTTGTGTCGAGCTTGTCGTACCTTTAACGACATCAGTAGCAAGCATGATGTAGATATCTTTTGTACAAGCCTGAGAAAAGCTAGAACCATGATAAGTGGAGAATTTTTTAATAACTAATTTATGTTTTTTTAAATATGTTTACATCATTTTTTCTTTATATAATTTTCTTGCGGTGTGCCTACTGTTTTGATTATATTTAAAATTTTAATTTGGTCTTAGTTGTTAACTATTCTGGCACTATTCGTGTGAATCTGTAAGTGGCTCAATGTCACTATTTTTCTGCTAAAATTGTATAATGTAGCTGCTGTTGATTCACCATTTATTAAATAAATAAATAACTGTTACAGAAAGTAACAGCGATAGCGATAGCGATGACGGCGACAATTTATAAAATGTCTGTTTTATTTGTCACGTTCCTTCATGATCACATTTTTTATTAATTTCACACTCAATTACAAAAGAAAAGTCTCAGATCGTTAATTAATTGTCAAAACTAAATTATCGGTTCCAAAATATTTTATTTCCTGATAAACTTAGTTTACGAGAATAAATTTATGAACGAGAGGAATCGATTCAGAAATATTCGATTTCCACATCGAATAATTTCGCAACGTCACTATTTATTGTGTGTCATAACGTTGCAACACTGAAATTGTCAAATCTGGAATGGAATTAAAATTCCGAGTATAGCTGTTCACACATTTCATAGAGGTATCAGAAAAGTTGACGATTTCTGACTGTGTTAATTTTAGTAACACCTACTATACACAACAAATAAAACAAAGCTTCAATAAGTACAAAGGTTTTATTGCGTTCCCTTTTGCTGGTTTAGTTTTTTATAATATGTATTGTCTTTAGACTCGGAACTAAAGATAAGAAGTCTACTTACTTTACTTAGTTCCTGCGATTAGCGCATTCAAACAAACAAACAAACTCTTCAGCATTATAATGAGTCTATACTCATTCAAGGATATAAGACGCCTCTGCAGCCTTTATACGCCTATTCCGCAGTTGATGCACCTCATCGTAATCCACAAAACAAATCCAAAACGCAAAACAGTTACTCCAGTATTATTAGCGAGGTTAACAAAAACACGTTGTCAAAAGTGTCAAACACGTTTTAAGTTTTTTTTTTGGTGGTAGGTATATCTATATATACCTTAGTAGGAAATGCTGTTTTCAAACCACCTTTGTCATAAATATATCTCTTCAAAGTGAATTGAGCAAACTATGCTCTGGCTAGATGGTTTCTAAAATTAATCTAACCGTGCCCTTTGTATGATTTGTATTTATTTTTTTGTCAGGGAAACTAATATGACATGGGCTCCATAATGGACAAAAATATAACCCACAACAAATAAATAAGTGGGTAAAATTTTCACCAAAAATGACAACACTCACAAAATGGCCGCATCATTTTCCTAGAAAAATAAATCGATAAAAAAATTCAATAATTAATTAAATATACTATTGCAGTCGATGCTTGCAGATGAAATGTAATCTTATCCACTTTTTTTGTAATTCCAGTCGCATTTTTACTCGTAGTAATTACACAAGACGGCATAATGAAATTAAAATTGATACTCGTAAATACGTCACGACATGCCACGTGCCAAAATTGACTAATCGTAGAAATTTCATACTATTCTAGTTGAGAATGGTTTTAGTTGCTTAAGTTTGAAGCGCGATGACGCCTTCTGGTTTGTTCTGTATTCTGAGATTAAGATTTACATATTAAGTAATACGATGATTATACCATTTTTAACAGATTAATTGGACTCCACTGACATCTGTTAAAGAAAACATCACCTACTTTCACGCCTTTCTCAATTTACCGCTTCGGGAACGACATGGCGTTATTTATTATAATTATGTATATTATTTGTTTCAGTTCGTATTGACTCCATACACTCTTAATGATTTAGTGCAACCCATCGATATAGCCGATACATACGAAAATTATGAAGGTTACTGTCTGGTATCTGGGTATGGAGAAATTTCAAATCAGGTAAACAGTAAATATAATATGTAGGTATTATTAATTTTAAAACACAAAAAATGTGTGTGTATAATATGCATACTCTGATTTTTCGTATTTTTTATTGTCGATCGGCAAACTAGCATTTTTCACACCTGAAGGTAAGCAATCGGTGTCGCTCATGGACGTCTACCGCCGCAGTGGGTTTTGAGGTTTGGGAAATTTAGAGAAAGAAGGCGAGGTTTGGCTTTCTTATACGATATTCTGACTCATACGGCGAAAGACAACGCGATAAAATTGTTGTATCATATCTCACTGTATGGCTGTGGCATCACTCCAGTCGAGCTGGTCCATTCGTGCAGAAACATGGTTCGCCCACATTCATACTTGTACACCCGTCTATAGTCTGTTGTATTCTAAAACAGTTAAAATATGTGTCAAGTTTCTAAATGCTAAACTTCTTTGCCGACTGATCTCATAAAAAACCTTCTTTCAAGGATTCGGACCATTATTATTTGAACATTGTTCACGTAATTACTTCTTCTTGGTCCTACTCCATGGTTTAGAATAACCAGCCGCCCATGGTGACCTTCATTGAGTTGATCTAGAAATTAACAAAAAACAGAAAAACAAAGAAGCCCTATCGATGTTTCGTACTTCTAACATCTCTAATGGAGTGGTTAGTCTGTTCATAGAAGACTGTTTGTTAGATGATACAAGAATTAACTTAAGACAAAACGGTCAGCAGTAGGCAATAGAGACACCCTAATGGATATTGAACATTGAGAAACAAAACAATAAAAATAAAATATAAAAAACAATTTTAAAATATGTTTCAGGTTACATCCGACACATTAATGAAGGCACATCTGTTACTCCTTGCTAACGAGCGATGTCCTCGCATCACTCAATTTAGGAATTTATTTTACAACATATGCACATCAGCCATTGGAGCTGAAATTGGAATAGTTAGTACAACTTCTTTATTATCATCAGTAGTAGTCCATTAAGCCGTCTGCATCCTAAGCGTGACTGTGCGGATCCTAAACGTAGAAAGTACTAATATGAATATAGTTAAATTATTATTCTATCATGATAGAAATGTGTACATTCCAAGTTTATTTACTGCTGCCTTTAATTACTGACTTCAATTTTTTTTTATGTAATAGGTAGTTCGGCAAACTAGCATACGTACTACCTGATGGTAAGCAATCAGCGCCACTCATGGACACCCGCAACGGAGGAGTTACGAGTGCGTTGCCGACCCTTTAGGGATTAGGGATTTGAAGATTTAAGGATTGAGAAGGGATTAGGGAGGGGAAGGATTGGGCCTCCAGTAACCTCAGTCACACGACGCTGTGGTTGACAATATAACATATTGAAATAGTAATCGATACTTGACGACTTAGATTCGACACTAGCACTACTGATGCAAGTTGACCTAAAACCAAACTAAAGCTTGGAAAGAAAAACTTCATGTCACTGATATAAAAAAAAATATGTGGTATATCGAAAAGAGAATACCTGATAAATGTTACTACTGTCTCTTTTAACTATTAAATATTACTTTTTAATCCACAGGGAGATTCAGGAAGCCCTTTGGTCTGCACAAGGACATACGACGTCTCCCAAAAAACCGAAAACATCTTGGTTGGAATTGCCAGCGGCTCATACCCCAACCAAAATGCTTTCTTCTCCAGAGTCTCGGCGTACAAAAACTTTATTGAAACCCTAAGCAATTGTACTAAAAATACGGAAAGTTTATTTTTAATAATGTTTACCTCCACATTAATACAAAATTACATTGGTTTGCTGAGTTTTGATTTATTTTTGTTTTAATGTACACCCTTAACACCCCATACTATAATTATTTTAATAACTATAGCTAGTTAAATTATCAGAGCTGTGGTAATAACTTTGTCAGATCCAGTAGGTTTTTCGATTTCATTGAGACAATTTACAAAGCACATGACTTGGAATCCACATCTTTTCTCCAGTGCGTTTCAAAAAAAAACAATATTGACGAAGGAGAGTTTTCCAATATTTTAAACTTTCTTAGAGATGAACATAATGTGGGTCTCAAGCCAACAGATTTTAATTTTAAAAAGGTGTCACGATAAAGCTCGTCACCACTCTGCCTAAGTAGAACTTCAGCCTTAAAAAACTTGTTTTGTATTCTTAGTATCTGTGGACATGATCCAAAAAGTAAAACAAACAGCACCTCCGTGGAATTTGACAGTAATAGTTTTCTCTATTCTTATATCAAAGAGTATTAATACTTTCTATTTGATAATGTCAGATTAGAATCATATTATTTTGGAAACGGTATATAAATTCAGTGTTTCATGTTTTTTAAATTTTTGTTATGTATACTAATGTTTTCAAAAGTATGTTTATCAAACGATGCAAATTTCAACGTGTCAGATGACAGGATGCGAGCTGAAGAACAAATAGTTTCGGGAGAATGGGTGCCTCGGGTTGTCAACGGCTATCCGGCTAAATTAGGTGATGTTCCATATCAAGTACGTATTTCTCAACTATCATTAATATTTCAAATGACTACAAAAGCTCTCATGTTGAATTTTTAAACATTTACAGATAGCAATGAAAGCTTTAGTGAATCGGTCAAGCAAATTATACCTAACCTTTTGTGGCGCTACGTTAGTTGGTCCCACTAAGATGATTACAGCTGCTCACTGTTTTGAAGAAAGGGGAAGAAGTAACTGTCATAAATTTTTCTTCCCAGGGTACATTAAATTTCTACTATGTATTAAAAACATAATTTACATGACACCCAATAAGTACATGCAAAAAACAAGTTATTCAAAAATGTTTTAACACGTTGAACGCCATAAAGACAACAACATGGCAACGAAGGATTTGCTGTCTACAGTTATCTGTCGGCAGTCAGTCAATGATATTATTCTATTTTTCTCCAATATTTAGCATCCATGATAAAACTACACTTATTCCGACTGTTTATCGAAAGATTTTTTGCAACAGTATTTTAAAACAACATGCTTCAACTGTATAAATCCTGAGAAACTGCCACCTTTTTAGAGGATTTGTCATTTCCTTCCTCTTCCCCAAGCCCGTCATTCTTTGGATTGCGGGTCAAGTCCACTAAGGAATGGCGGCCCTAACCTGAAGCAGAAGAAGAAACGGGGTAGTTTAGTTAATAATGGTTTGACTCCCTCTCGCTCCATCAAAAGCAAAAGAAGTCATTTGACGATTTTCTCCCCTAAATAATAAGATCTGTCATTCTATTTCAATGTAATGGAAGCACACATTGACTCACGTTTTCTATGTATGAATGTTTTATAGAAAAGCCAGTTCCAGTGTACTGCAAAACAAATACGCCGTTGCCGGGAATCTATTGAACGGTGCAAAATGTTGCAGTGATGGTCAATGGCGATCATTGTCACGCGTGATCTATCCGAAAAAATATGTGTTCCCAAAACATGACATAGCAGTTGCTGTAAGTATATTTAATATTACATAAATATGTAACAATACATAATAAGTAACAAATAACAAGAAAGGTTTGGTAGTTACACTACTTATAGCTCAAGAACGGCTGAACCGGTAACTGAGACCGGTAAATATAGGAGATAGAAAGAAAGGTAGGTAGAATACGGGGAGAACCAGAAGAAGAACATAGGATAGAATAGAGAAGGCAGGGTGGTGGGAGGGTAGGTAGTGTAGGTAGGTAACTAGGTATAGGTAGGTTTTTAATCTAACAGTTCAAAGACGAGGATTTTTCATCGACACATCATATTTTCCCATATTACATTTCTAATTTGCCAAATCAGCAGATTTTTTAATTTATGCTGTTTTTTATACTTGTAGAACTAATATTATAAATGCGAAAGTAACTCTGTCTGTCTGTCTTTTCACGCCTAAACTACTGAACCGATTTCTGTGAAATTTGGTACAGACATAGTTTAGAACTCGAAAAAGGACATACGATAGTTTTTATACCGAAAATCTGTAGTAAGTCACTATTCCACGCTAACGAAGTCGCGGGAAAAACCTTGTTTATTTATTAACCTTTTTGCCCAATGTACAATGACGGACTTAACGCCTTAGGCGTTTCTCTAACAGTTTACCTTTAGGAGTTGGAGAAATAGAAGTGATAGGTGCGACTCTTATATCGACAAATATACTATGAGAAGAAAAAAAGTACATGCTACAATATATCTGTATAACTAATGCATATAATTCCTTCCTTCCAGTACGCATCGTCTCCTTTCGAATTTAACAATCATGTTGCTCCTATACCATACGCTAAACGACATACAGACTATAATGGTAAGTGTTTGGTCTCTGGTTATGGACGAACAGGACATGGAACAAAGGTATGAGCCATTTTTTTATCTGAAACGAAACTTTCATAATTTTCACTTTTATGTTAAAAATCAGTTTAGGTACAGCTTGGCCAATGAGCCTACTTCACCCCTGACGGTAAGCAAAAACAACGCCCATACACACCAGCAACATCAAAGAGTTGCCAGCGAATCTTAGCGATTTGAGGAAAGATGATTAAAAAATACCCAATAAAAATACGTTTTTTTTTTCATCTGATATGACATCTTGAAACAAGATTAATTTCCAGTCAATTGAATTATAGCCCTATTGCAGTATCTAGACCAACCATACTAGAAATAAATAAAGCAGGGATTTGGGGGTTAGGGATGGAAGGGGAGAAAGGCTTAGGATTCCGCTAACCTTACTCACAGAATGAAATACAACACCAATGCTGGTGTTGTATTTTAGTCTGTAAGTTCATTCATTCACTTTCATCTTCACGCCGATTTTCGGTGATGCCGCTGTATTTCTGGGACTCCGGTCGAATCAACATGAAACTGATGACAGTATAAATAGATAATGAATAAAATTTAATGTATGTTTATTGATTTTAGGATACTACAGAAATACTTCTTTTGGCGAATTTGGAAATCATGCCTAATAGTCTATGCGGCAAGGTGCATCGCAAACGCATGGAAAATTTTGTATGCACCTTCTCGTCGTTTACTGACGTTGGAAAGGTTTACTTTTTTAACATTATAATATTACAAGTATATTTTACCGCCCATCGCGGGGTATTGATGATGATTGGGCTTCTTTTTACTAAATAGAAGCAGGTAACGAAGGTACGAGGCACCTTGTGGTAAGCAGGTACCTGGGTACTAGAGAGTCATAATGTAAGCCGGCAGCCTTCAAGGGACTCGGGATTTTAGAAAAAGGGCTTGAAAAACTATTCCGTACCAATGAGGCAGGGAAACTCAGTTGTCTGCTGCTGGGTGTAATAATTGTATCCTCCAGACATATTTCAACATCATCATTAGCCTGAGGTCGTCCACTGCTGGACATAGGCCTCCCCAATTGCACGCCACTGAGCTCGACGTTCAGCTCTTCTCATCCAACCACTGCCAGCCACCCTGCGGATGTCGTCAGTCCGCCTAGCTGGAGGGCGAGACATATATAAATAATAATAATAATAAATAAATAATAAATTTTTAATTAAAAACATTGAACACGTTTACAATTACAGATGGCTCAGATTTTATAGTAATAAAAAGTCTTAATAATAACAATCGTAATAGTTAACTTAATCTAGTCTAATACAATACATATGTGAGGAAATAACGTTCTTAGTCTAAATATTAGGGACTACCCGAACTAGGTTTATTTAAACCTGTGTTTCAGGCTATCAATGCAAAAAAAAATAATTCAATGGATATAATAATAAATAATTATCGTATTTCATAATGTAAGACTAAGCAAGGACAACCTGGCCTAAATTATTAAACAAAACTAACATTATACTAGTTAATATGTAAGTAATTTACTAAAAATAAGTACTTTATTTTAATACTTCTAGCAATTTTTCCGTATCTGAGTAATTGAGGGACTGTAAATATTCTGTTAGCATTAGTTTACACTTATTTAAACTTACACTATACATTTTTAGCAGCCTATTGAGTTTGTTATATAAATAAGGCCCTAGAAATAAATAAAATCTGTTAGTAAAAGCATGTTTCGTCTGAGGGTTAGTGCAAACTAAATCCTTTCTTTTGCCGGAAAGTACCGGGCTAAAACCAATTTCAGTATGCTGCAGTATGTTGAGGATGAATAACTGGCGTACTGTCAGTACTTTGCATTCCTTGTATAGCTGGTGAGTAGGAAATCTGAAAGGACGAAAGGTGGCGACCTTCAGGATTGCTCTTTGAGCACGTTCTAGGGGCAAGAGAATAGTTTTTGGAGCACCACCCCATGAGTTAATACAGTAACTAAGAATGGATTGACACAAAGCCATATACACCTGGCGTATCAAGGTAAAGTCTGCAATATTGCGCAAGTATTTAAAGACATAGATTAATTTTCGTACTCTAGTGCATAATAAATCAATATGTTTTCGGAAATTGAGATTCGCATCAATAGTAACACCTAGATATTTTATATAGTCAGTCTTTACTAATGTAGGGCAAGCGCATGCTGTGTCAGCGGTCGTACTCGTATGACAATTATGTGCATAAATGTTTAGGTTAGTAGTGGATATGTGGGCATTTCTCATTGAAAATAACATGTAATTTGTTTTATCTGAATTCAATGTTAGGAGATTATTACGAAGCCAATTAGACACTACATTAAAACCATTTTGGGCAAATTCATAGACCTCATCTTTTGATTTACCTAGGTCAGGTAGGTACCTTTAGGTCATTGATATATATTAGGAATAAAGTAGGACCCAATATACTACCCTGAGGAATTCCGTAACTACTGTTTTTTAGTTTCGAACTTCTATATTGACCAATTTTTATACACTGCTGATGATTTTTAAGATAGTCCGTGAATAATTTTAACTGTACTCCTCTTATACCAATTTTTTCAAGTTTATGGAATAACAGGGAGCAAGAAATGGTGTCAAATGCCTTCACAAGGTCTAAGAAGATCCCAATTGTGTACAAACTTTTATCCAAAAATATGTCTCGCCAATGCTAATGATTATAAGGATGATAATTAGTAAAAAAATGCCTTTCCAGGGTGATTCCGGTGGTCCCCTTGTGTGTAAAAATACAGGCGATCCAAATGAAAAAGACAAAGGAGTATTAGTTGGAGTCGTTAGCGGGCACAGCGTAGGTCGAGGATCATTTTTCACGAGAGTATCCAAGTACAATGGCTTTGTAACCAATGATTCTATATCAGTTTTCATCTTATCACACTACCTGAATGTATTTACTATTGTAACAATAGCCACAATAAACAAAACATTTTTATTCTGATGTGTTTTAAATATTTACTTTTCTATCTTAATCTCTTTATTTCTTACAATTTCCACCAAACAAAAACAGAGAAGAAATGTAATAACTAAACCGGATTAGTTTATTTGAACCATGAAGCAAACACAAAGTGAAGATGGAGGAAATACCTTTTGCAAAAAAAGCATTTCGGAGGGCTCGGTTTGGCCACTTTAAGCCGAACAGGGACAGGACTGATCAGAACCGCGATGGATTCAAAAGTAGGAGGATGTGTCCCCCGAAGGCTTGGGTGTCGTCAAGGCCCAAGTAAATATATAGGTTGCTTATCGTAGGTCGCATCATCGCTTACCACCATAAGCTTGCCCACTACAAAAAGAGGCAATATATCAATTTGGCGCTAATCCTGTGCACAAAAAATATATAATAACTAGCGGCCCGCCCCCGCTTCGCACGGGTCCTACTATCTCGCTATCAAAGGGTCACTTTTTATTAATCATTCCCTCTACTTTTCTAATATTTTCTTTGATAAGAACCTTCTCCCGACAATAACAAACACAACAAAAAAAGAATTATCAAAATTGGCCCAGGCGTTGTTGAGTTATGCGCTTACCAACACATTTTGCGATCCATTTTTATATATAAAGATAAAGCTTGATGTGAAAGTGATTTTCCAAAAACTATTTGGATAATGTTCTGATGTCGTAACATCTCATTCGTTAATTATTTTAATTAAGGATTACAAATTACTTTTAAAACCCTAAATTTTTGCCGAAAACCGTCGTAAACAAAGATTTGCGTGAAGATTCTGGAGCTTTAGTATGTATGAATACAATTAATCAAAATATAAAAGATAACGAAGTATTACTTCGTAAGGTAAAGGACCAGGAAGCCTAATTATTTTTCAGTCGAGTTCTAAAATTTCCAGATTAGCCCAGTTAAAATCTCAGAGATGAACTCTTAAGCGCAAAATTCTTCCAGGTGCATTCTAACACCTTCATATTCACATTTTATTTTACGATTCGTACATACGTACTTATAAAGCCTTGTCTCATGGCGACGAATGGAAACCAATGAGCACCATCATCTTTGTTTAGATTGCTAACACCACTTTATTTAAACATAACCTTGCACACCCTCTCTTTAAGTTAAAATTTTTGTGGTCACTAACATCCCTTTGGCCATTTGCTCTAATGCTCATAACCTATAATTATTTATATTTATTGTAAATGTGGCAGGCGTCCTTAATAATAAAGATAATCATATAAAGATAACAGGAGCACAAAAGGTTTTATGTTATTTCTTAAAAAGGAACCTTTTATTAAATCCTTTTCAAGAAGATCTATGGCGTTTCCACCATAGAGATAAATTCACACCATAGGTTTTCTAAGATCTATAAACATCTATACATAGAAAAGTGCACAGATTCTACCACTAACCTACTATACAATTATTATGACATTTGGCTAAAAGCTACCTCGGCTACATTACGAAAATTTACTTTAATGATTTGAAGACTCCGTTGGCATTCAAGAGATTAAAATATCGAATGATTGTCCAATTCTTTTTATATTTAACAATTTTACACCCTGAACAATGTTACATGGAGGAAAAGGTCACGTACGATGGTGATGATGAAATTTTCCCATACTCAGAAGATAATACTGACGAGGATTACTTAATACCTCGAGCAAACGATAAAAAATGGATTCTTCGTGTAGCGAATGGCGAACCGGCTAAATTAGGAGATATTCCTTATCAGGTACTTAAAGGTACAAGTGAAGGACGTGGAATTCTCTCGTACACACCTCTTATTACGTATTTTGTTGCCTCTGATAGTAAATTGGGTAGAAATCTGTAGAAAATAGGGAAAGATATCTAATCAAAACACATTTGAGATTACCTAAAACAAAAATTCTGAGATCCTTCATTACAATAACTTGCAAAAGTAAGGCCTTCCTTGAAATTTTAAATTATATTTTATTGCATATTTGGTTCAATACAATGAAAGGGAAGACGAATAGAACCAATTACTATTTCAGGTATCACTGAAAAAGTTAAAGAAAGATGGTTTTTATAGAAGTTTTTGTGGTGCATCCATAATCGGAGAAAATAAAATACTTACTGCAGCACATTGTTTCTTGCGAAAGAAACTACTTGCTGCCGTACTTACAGGGTAGGAACATTTAATTTACTTCTTACATTTTAATTGAACGTATCTTAAAGCAATCTTGAATTAGATATTCTATATACAACATTTTTTTATGTTAAAGACGGCAAATTAGCAGACCGATGATAAGCAATCAGCGCCGTCCATGTACACCCACAACTAAGGAGGAGTTACGAGTGCGTTGCTGATCTAACCTTATCGGAATTAGGGATTTGGAAGTGATTGCGAGAGAAAGTATTGTACCTCCGGTAACCTCATTTACACAGCGAAACACAACGCTGCGCTGGTTTTCTCGTTATGACTCCGTTCGAGTCGTCCGATTCGTGCCGAAGCTTAGCTCTGCAACACTTAATTATTATGCAGATATAAAAATGACTCCTAATTCTCCTTGGTTATCGTACGCATCACGCCTTTTTTATGGAATAGGAGGCAAACGAGCTGACAGATCACCTGATGGTCTGCGATCGGCACCGCCCATGGACACCCTCAGCACCAGGGGAGTCACAGGTGCGTTGCCGGTCTTTTAACTAGGAGTTAGGCGTTATGTCGATATGTCGATGTCGATACCGATAATTCTTTATCTCCTATGTTAGGTTAGAATCTGAAGAAGGTCCTCTTTTAGGAAAATTTTGCCAATAAAATAAGGGGCCAGCTGCTAATTGTGTGATAATTCATAAATTAGTAAAATCGAAATTGTTTTTAGAACGATTGAGAGAAATAGCCTTACAGATATTTACGCAGTAGCTGGATATTTAATGAATGAAGGAATAAACAGCCTGAACAATAATTCCGGCCAGTGGAGGAGATTATCGAGCGTCAGATACCCAAAAAATTATAAAAGACCCAAACATGATATAGCAGTTGTTGTAAGTATTGTTTTAAATATCAAGAACCTGTAACCCCACCCACACTGCGAAACACGACGCTGTAGTTGTTTCACGTCGGTTTTCTGTGAGGCCGTAGTATCACTCTGGTCGAGCCGGCCCATTTCAAAGCATGGCTTTCCTACATTTTCAGCAATGTCCTTTTAACTTCTTGTTATTTTCGAAATAGAAGCGTCATATGCACATAAAAATCATACTTACCTTGTTTCAGTATTTAGATGACCCCTTCATATATAATAAATATGTTGGCCCTATTCCAATTGCTATAAAAAATCAAGATTATAAAAATGCATGCTTGGTTTCAGGGTACGGAAAAACAGGGCGTGATAAAAAGGTACCAAATTATTCTAATCTATTTAAAAGGTGACATTTATTTATTCCTATTAAAAGTGCCTATTGAGATCACATGCCTTTGTTGTCCAAATAACTTGAACTCCGGGACTATTATAATATTTATTAATGTGTGGGATGGGCGTGTCAGGCTCTAACTAACTAAAAACGACTTCATTCCAATTTCTGTCGTCCTCATACTTATTCCTAGGCTAGGTAGGCCTTCAATCATTCATTGCACCGAATCTTTTCTGTAACACATGGTTCTAGTATAATAATACCTAACGATATTAATTTTTTCTAGATTTCCAGTGATGTCCTTTTAAAAGCATATTTGACAATAATGTCTTCAGAAAACTGCAGTGAACTGTACCAGTATAATATGGAAACGTTTATATGTACCGTTACCCAGGTTCCAGATGTTGGAAGAGTTAGTTGGTATTCTTGTATGTAATGGAAAGTAAAAATTACTTTTCTTCTTTGACTGTTCTTCGGGATTCGGCCACCAATTACCTGGTGGTATGCGATGATGTAGCTAAAGATGACAATGCTTGCCACTTGGTAGGTACTTCAAGACGCGATTGTTTTCTCTGGATTAAATTCTGAAACAGAATTCTAGATTCCTTGACTAATTCAGTTTTAGTGATACGATTTTGAGTAAGGCATTAGGTACTTTTTAATCCTAGCAAGTTCGTTCGTGAAAATGCAAATATTTTTTCGGAGCTTCAAATGAATTATATATATATTTATGTGTATTTTTAGGGCGATTCTGGCGGACCTCTTGTATGTACAAACACGAGCGATCCCAACGAAAGAGACATTGGAGTATTAGTTGGCATTGTAAGGGCTCACAGCCCGAACCGATCCTCTTTATTCGTCAGAGTCTCACAATACTACGACTTTATAACTAAAGAAAGTACTCAATTTATTGAGAACTCCGATTATGGGGCCCTTCATTCTATGTGCAACGTTTACCAGCCTAACTGCTATTTTCTTTTTATTTTAGTATTAATATTTTTTATATATTACAGTGAAGTTTTTCAGTACACCTGATTATTCTATATTTACTTTTGTTTTCGAATTCTCCTCTCAAATCAACAAGGGCCTGGATAATAATTATGGCTATATCATTTCTACGATGTCTACAATCGCAACATTTTCTCAACACGAGTAGATCAGAATAATTTTATGAAATATAGGTATTTTTACGATATAAAATATGTACAATATTATTATTTTGTATAATTTTACAATGGTTTTATTACAGCAATTAAATAAATTTACTAATTATTTACTAAACTAGGATTCCTTGAAACAGTATCTGAATCTCTTTCTCTATCTTATATGAGACAATTTTCGCAAGGTCACCAATAAAACATTTGTTTATACAGCAGCAAAATATTAAAGGTTTTAATAACACAACATCAGAATACAAAGGACAATTACAAATTTGTTAACATACACATCACAGCTATCGTCAGTAACCCATTGACTAAACAAACCAACACGCATATTGAGATTTGGGAGGCCAATGTTGACGATGCTCGTCACAGCAACCAAAACTCCTTGGTTGATGTCAACCTCCGCTGGATCCCCTGTTTCGTAGCACACCAAACCACCACCTTCAGTTTCCTGGAAGTGTTTGAAGGCACTTTAATATGAACCAGGTTTTTCAAACACACTAACCGTACCTACTAAAAATATTTACTCGACTTCCATCATAATCTTTATGAGTAGTCAAGTTTAAAAGTAAAATTCAACCCCTCATTATAAAACAAGTTTTATCGTTAGTCTAGTTCAAACCATTGAATGAGGTTTTGTTTTTTGAATCTTAACCTTCAATTTAAAATACAAAAATTGGCTCTGGTTTAGAACTAGATTAAAGAAAAACTTAGTTTTGTAATATGGCCGTACAAGTTTCAAGTCACAACGAAACTCATTTATTCATGAACAGCGCAAGCGTTGCTAATACCCATTGTTAAATTCGGCTTTTGCAATAACCAAAAAAGTTCTACGACTTTTCAAGATTCATCAGATTTTCATACAAAAATGTAACCTCTCAGAATAACGGTGTGAAACAAAGCTTTAACTTTCGCTTTTCCCCGCGCGAGTGAGGTCACCGGAGAATTTAAATAGAGATAGTCCTCAACGCCCGAGTGATTTTCCACCCACATGAAAAGGTGTACCAAGATTTAAGGTTTAATTGTGGGAGAGTCATGCTTCTTCACGAATGTTTCGGCTCGATCGGACTGATACCAAAATCCGCCGTGAAACAATCACAGCTTTGTGTTTTGCCTGTGTGTGAGGGTACCGGAGGCCTAATCCTTTCCCTCCCTAACCCCAACATCTCCAAATCCCTTATCCCCAAAATGTCGCCAACGCACTCTTAACCCTTCCGTTGTTGCGGATGTCCACGGGTGGCGCTAATTGCCCATCAGGCGATACGTCAGCTCGTTTGCTGTCCTATCATCACATAAAAAAAACAGTTGACCATCAAGCTCAAGTTCCCTAAGGAACTGGATTTGGATCGTTACGAACGTAAATAAATTAGCAAACTCACGGAGTATGCATATTGATTCCTGTTATTGAATACAGTGCACATAAAAAGTCTGCAACTTCTACACAGGATCTTTTCGCATTCTTCTCTCGGCACCATTTCAACCTCTTGGGTGTATAAATATTTAATTGTAGACCAGCTCTGAAATATAATAAAATAATTAAATTATTTTCAAAAAATGTTGCTATATGAAATGATAGTATAGATATCAACTAAAGTAAAAAGAGGAGTAAGTATTACTATTGTTTTTGTTGCATTTGGTAGGTCACTCTTCCCTTACATACACGTTTTATTCATTCTTTCTTACTTAAACGTCTACTTATCTAGTCAAAGTAAAAGTACGGAATCGCCAATCCGCCTTGAGCAGCAGTGAGCACGTATAAGCTGATGATGTGATGTGAATAAAATTGATATAAAAATATGATGAACATAATATCATGGTAGTAATTTAAAAGGCAAACTAATATTACAAATTCGAAAGTAACTCTGTCTGTCTGTCTGTCTTTTCTTTACGCCTAAACTACTGAACCGATTTCTGTGTTTAGTACAGGCATAGTTTGGATCTCGAGAAGTCTGTTAATAACATATAGGTGCCCTATTTATATTTAAAAAGTATAACCAACTTACTCTGGTAGCCTTTACAGCGGTTGCCGTACAAACTCCATCAAAATCTTGTTCTTTGGTGGCATACGGTATTTTATTAACGTATGTATTAAAAACCCAGGGTTTAGTTAGTACCTGCAAAAAATAGCATATGTTGGTTGCTTTGTTGTGAAATGTGTGTTTTGCTAAAATCGCTCTTAAGGCGCCTGCCAACTGACTTCTTCTCTTCTGGCTTATACAAACAAATAATCTACAGTTCCTAAGATATAAATATTCCTAAGATATTATAAAATATATTGACTAGACATAGGTATTCATATGAAGAAGAAATTTTATAAGTACCCACGCTAGCGACACACCCCGTCTTCGCAGATGTAATACTGATGCTAAATTCCTCCACTATTTCATGGATGTTATTATACATAAGTACATCTATACTTTTCAATCTATCTATTAAAAACCGTATCAAAATCTATTGCGTAGTTTTAAAGATGTAAGCATACATAAAGATTTAGGTAGGGACAGTGAAAGCAGTAGTGAAGTATACAAGATTTACATATTTATATGTGATGTGGCGAATTTTCTTTATTTTATTCTTACGTTCATCTATATCTTAAATCCAAACTATCCAAACTCATCTTACAAATTCAAAAGTAACTCTGTTAGTCGGTCTGTCTGTCTGTCTTTTCTTCACCCCTAAACTACTGAACCGATTTCTGTGAAATTTGGTATAGACATAGTTTGGAACTCGAGAAAGGACATAGGATAGATTTTATACCAAATATCTGCAGGAAGTCTAAAAAAAGCAAGTTTTAAATAAATTAAACAATACAATACTTACAACAACAGCAAGGTTGAAGGCGGGAAATCTGTAGAATTTCTGCGTATACACGCGTTCCAGCTTTCGCCATTGTTCAATGTCATCGTGTATTGGTTCAGTGCCACGGGTCTTTAGAATACCAGCTACGAAACGTACCTGGTCGAACTTATGTCTTGGACTGGAAATTAAGTGTTAAGTATATACACTTTATTATAACGAACAATACATTTCAAAGTTTATATTACAGTGACTGATTTACCAAAAGAAAATGTGGAAGACCTATGCTTTGGCCAGCTCAGACGAAGTGACACCACCGCAGAAAATCGGCGCAAAATAACGCTTGATTCCGTCGTGCGTATGAGGCTACCAAAAAACTTGTCCTTGTAACCTCCAACTCGGCAAACGCAGGCAACGAACTTGTAACTCTGGCGTTGCAGGTTGGCGCCAGGCGCCGATTGCTTACCATCAGGTAAGGTAATTGCTCGTTTACTGTCTTATATCATAAAAATTGCAAATGTTTTTTTTAAACGTTGTCTTACACTAGGATTTTCTCCTGTGTCGTGGGTGTGTTTACAAACATACAATTCCACATGCACATCACACCCAGACCCGGAACAACAATATGTGGATCACACAAAGAGTTGTTCCGTGCGGGAATCGAACCCGCGACACGTTGCACGGCAGCCAGTGGCCCAGCAACCGCGCCAACCATGCAGTCAATTTCAAAAATTTTTGAATTAAAAGACTATTCTAAGATCTTACTTTTTTCTATTAGTGAAGAAGCAGTTGGTTGACGTCAGTACCCTCTTTTCGCCTATAATGCTACCGGCACAAAACGCTCTGTACTGGAACTTGAATTTGTTGTACAATCTGAAGATAAGAACCTAAAAGAAGATCTCATAATGAATTCTAGACTTTAGTCTTCCACTGAACATGTTACGGTACATGGCATTAATTAAATTTCATTATGAAGTCACCCATTTTAATTGCATTAAAAAAAGAATTGCGTGATCCAACATAGCTATTATTAGCCTTTAAAAATAAATTGAGACACAATAAATGAACAATCGGTGCGAACGATTTTGCTTGAAGTTTGATGAAAATAATAAATAATATACGATTTTTATTTTCGATATTTGCCGTTTCCTTTGTAGACCCCGATTTACAGGAGTTACAATAGTCTGGGAAAATAAGGCGGCAAAACCTTAAAAACTTTGAATCTTTATGAATAAAAATGAATTGTTGTTCGTTAGTCTGATTAAAACTGGAGAACGGCTGGACCGCTTTGGATAATCTAAGTTTTAAAATATTTGTTGGATTCCAGGGAAGGTTTAAAAGGCCAGAACATTTACTTAGTTATAGATATTTGAGGAGGTTTTTTTTGTGAGGGGAAAATCATCAAATGACTTCTTCCGCCCAGGGCCGGGCGGGAGGGAGTGTCAGACTCTTACTGACTAAAAACCCCCCTGTTCCTTCTCCTGCTCTGGGCCGAGGTCTTGGTGCCTCATTGCGCTCACCCCGCAACCTATTTGAGGTGGTACGGAGTAGCTCGGGTCAGCTGGTTAAGAATAATTTACAATGAATGACAAGACTTAATAGTAAATTGTATGGTGTTAATTAATTTTAAAGTTCTTACATGATGTGGCCACGCCCCTTGGTGAACTTCATTGCCAAAGCTTGTTCGAAGTCTATTGCGGCGACTCTGAAACGATCAGATGTAATAAAGTAATCCCCAAACGCAATTTTATCACGAATTGTCATTGACTAGGTTCCTTGATCTAAAATAGCTAGCTAGCATCCTTGAAAAAGCGTGGTAATTAATGCTCAATCCTTCTCCGTGTGAGAAGAGGCCTCGGAATGGCGATTACGAAATTATAACTTAAAATTGAAAGTCAAGGATTTCTCACGATGTTTTCCTTCACCTGGTGGTTTGTAAATGTGGTGTCTAAATGAACTTGAAAGTACATATATGACTCTATGAACTTTTAAAAAAAAATGTTAATAATAAAAACCATTTTCTGAACTTACCATCAACAGTTCATTGGTTACATTTTCATAACTTACAGCTATGCAAGCACATAATACAGCAATAATTCCAAAAAAAGACTTGCCGCGAGTCACTTTTGGAGATTTTAGCAAGCGGCCGTGTTAGCAAGGTTTTCATCGGTACATGAAAAGCTCTTTATAGAATAATATTCAATAACAAATCATATTTACGCTGAAAATATTAACGAGCACAGATAACTAGGAACTAGTCATACATAAAAAAAATCTCTGTGAAACTAATCGGCCATGAGTGACATTTTTGACACAAACTGATTAAACGAATTGACAACCGTTACTTTAATACAAAACAGTCAGAGAACTTTTTGGTCACAGAAATTGGTAATAATTTTGAATAAAAAAAGAAAATCATTGGCGCTCAAGTAAGTACAAATTCTATGGAATACTTTGTGTTCCATAGGCTACCGCAGATACGTTTTTTTCCCGATCGGTAATCCGCCCTACCGCCCGACTGGCCGACAAGCAAAATATCTTTTTTCCGAATAATGCAGAAAATCATTAAGTTTATTCTGTTTTCTAAAATTCAAAAGAGAATAGTGTCCCTACTACATTGGATTCAGTAGATTAAAAACCTCCAAATTGTTCCTACCCTCTCGATAAAAAAAAACAATATTTGGAATGGAACTTTGCTGTGTCAACTGCCATATTTTGATTTTTTAAGCCATTCTTTAGTCGGTGTTGCGGACCAAATGCAATATTGTTTCGCGGCCTCAGCTTAGAGCAGGGTAAGGATCGGAGTTTTATTTATATATCCAGTAAAGTGACTCCCATTCGCATCCAGGGCGAGATGGTAAGATGAACACCCTCCCCTCAAAATAAAATAGCAATTCCTTAATTCCTTAGTTCTGTCGTGTATAGTGTCCATCTTATTCCAAAAACAATTGCTGAGGACTGGGTTAAGTAACAATTAAATCTGCTCCAAGAATGACGGTCTAGATATGATGTTGTGAGGATCATTCGTTTTGTTATTTCAGTTTCTAATTAGTTTACCTATTACTGAATGGAGGTCATCAGGTCGTCCCAGACGATTGTCACACTTAGATATGGTTAACTAACTAGTTTCTGATTAAAACTCTTTTAAAAAATAAATTAATTTATTCATTATTAAGTAAAATAATACAATTGCAACATTTATTAATTTTCATCTACATACATAGACTAAAACCATAAATATAGGTACAGATACATAATGTTGCTAATCGCATAGTACCTAAAGCAATCCCTTCATAATAAAAAATATTAATCGAAAAACTTTATTAGCATTAAAAAAGTTATCCGAAATATTAATAAATTAAATATAAAATAAATTAAATTAATTCGAAATATCACAATAATCCTCAAGGTTTCTTTAGTTTAAAAGTGTTTATTCGCCTTTTATGTTTTTCAAGTTCTCTGGTGTATCTTTATCTTCGAGCCCCCATAGATTGGTTCCATCACCAGTTCTCTTAGACCTTTGTTTTATCATCTCTTTCGAAACGGTTTTGAGGTCATAAGCCCATCCGATCCACGCAAAGAAATCAATGAACTTAGTAGTCAAATTCAAGCCATTGTTCCCAAGTTCCGCTGCACGATAATCCCATGGAAAAACATGATGATAGTTATGGAAACCTTCTCCAAATGTTGCTATGGAAACGCCTATGTTTTGAGCTGGTAAAATCTTCTTGTCGTAGGGTCTCTTCCCGTATATATGAGCAGCGCTATTGACGAGGAACGTGGCATTGAGGTTCATGATGTACCGCAGCATGGTGATGTGCCAGGCATTGGTCCAGCTTTCTCCCCAACAGTAAACCGGTATCAATGTTGGTAACCCAAAACAAACTGCACCAATGAATGGTACTGCGTACCTGAGAAAAAACATTAAGTTAGATACAGTACTAACTCATTCTGGATAAAAGACAATCTGTTCTGATAAAGTAACTTTGTAAGTTTAACTCTTTTTTTTCCGAGAAGTTAGAAACAAAGGAGGATACTGTTGAGGCCTCTTGGCAAGTCAGTTTTTTTGCCTGAATATCGGAATATCACATGGATTTGATTTCAAGTGCCGAAAATTATTTATTTTATACATAATTGTTCAAGGTGCAGATATAAACATACTATAGGTCCGTATCTGTAATAAATGATCCCGATATAAAAGACAAAACAGAAAACGAAAAAATATCTACTTCCAATATGTAATTGTCCACTTCAATTAGCCAAATATCAATAATTATTTCAAATTTTCAATGCATTAAAACGTTCCGAAACTTTCATTTAATTTAAGATGTATCTACTTAATATAACACTTAATGTATTTCTAGCTAACTGAAAAAAAAAGTTGTTGTGTGTCGCAAAAAAATCATGACGTCATAACACAACACTATACGATACGACTGACGTCCATAGAAAACTGATGATTTTGACAAAAAAGTATTGAATTTAACCAAAACTGTGGCTTATCTTTGAAAATACCACTAAACACTAAAAAATTAAAACTCACTTCCTCTGAAACCTCAGTACAGGATTGTTGTAGATGTCAGACATGTCAAGTTCTTTGCCACGTTTCTTGACTTCGGGGTGCTTTCTGACAAATAACCATCCGATGTGTGAATAGAAGAACCCACGTGAGGCGTTATGGGGGTCGGCATCAGTGTCGCTATACTTGTGGTGCAGTCTATGGTCTCTCACCCAATCAATGACCGTGTTTTGGAAAGCAATAGAATTCATCACCATTAGAAGAATTTCTAAAGGCAGTTTCACTTTGTAACTTTTATGCGACCAAAGCCTGTGGGCGCCTGCCGTGATTCCTATTTCTGCTATAACAAACAGGATGAACGCTGGAAAGAAATAATTTCAAATATTAAAAAAATAGAAATGATTCCAACATTTTTTTTAAATTTTCTCCTCAATAGGAATTTCTCCTGTGTCGTGCTTGCGTTACAAATATACGATTTCACAAACACATGACACCCAAACCCGGATCAACAATTTGTGGTTCACACAAGAGTTTTTCCGTGCGGGATCGAACCCGCATCTTATCCAAAATCTACTTAAAATCGCGGGTTACTCACGTCTATATGCGGCACGACGCGGCGACGTCGCTGCGTACGCGCACGCTGCTCATGAGGCATGCAATGAAACTAGTAGGGCATTTCTCAATATAGACGTGAGTAACCCGCGATTTTAAGTTAATTTAGTATGTCTCACGATAGTTATTATAAAAACTTATCCAAAATCTATTACAATCTTACAAAATCTATTACATAGATATACTATAGATAGTTTTTAATTTATATATCTATTAATAAATTCCTGTCGTAAAAACGCTAATCCGAAGAAAATATACTTAAGTATAAATAAATAAGTACAAATATTATCGAAGAATAAAAAAGACAAAAAAAGGTTTTTTGCTGATACTTTTTCGTTATTTATTTTAATGACTTGGGAAGCTTAAAATAGGTAATAAGTACTTACAGAATAAAATTGTCGCCCATTTCGCCGAGGTGAAGCACAAATAAAGGCCGTATAGTCCAGCTATATGCCAATAAGCAAAAGTGATGAGATTTTGATAAACGAATTCAAACTTTCTCTTTCCAGCTTGAGGTACCAGCAATGTAACTGTTTTTTCTTCTTTTTGTTCCAAAATCGTTGTCGTCTGTACACTTTGAGCCATTTTTCACAACTGAAAATGTAATAAGTAATTCAAAACATTAAACCATAGTATTTTGTAAAAAAATGTGCCCAATTTCGGTTCATCCAATAAAAGTTATGATGACACAGAAAACAGACAATTGAAATATATGTTTCTTTTGGTATTGGGGATTCAAAAGAGTTAACAAAGACAACAAGTTCGACAAGACAAAGTAACTTAGGGCTGATTTTTCAATAGTCAGATAAATGTTATCTGAGGAATAAAATTGTTGCTGTCACTGTCTTTTATATTAATTTTATATAACTATTTTTAATTATTCCCCAGGTAACTTATGCTATCCGTTGAAAAAACAGCCCTTGATGGAACGATTTACTATAACATTAACCCTAAAAACAAAAACATGAATGTTTGAACGTATACACTATCACCGATAGCTTGGTACGCGGCTAAGATTTCAGTGCCCACGTCAAGAATATTATGTTTTATTTATATTTATGCTATAATAACAGATTTATAGTTTTGTTTCTCAATTTCCTGAAAATGGCGTGACTGTAAGCACTCAGCATATGACTAAACGTGTCTAGCGAAAAGTAAGCACACATCTTACATTTTCTGGAAAAACACGACCGACGTTACGTTGAAACATATGCACACATAAGAACGAACGTAATAATTAGGAACTTAATAAACGCAATGATAAATATTCAATACCCTAAACCAAAAAAAATATAAAATCACTAGCTGTTTGTTATCCACGGCTTGGATGCAAAGAAACAGAAAAGGACCCTATATCTCATATTCTAAAGTCTAAAATACCAGACACAAACTGAATAGTAAAGTTGTGATACGAAAGAAAGCCAATTAAACAAGCATACTTTCATGTCACCTGATGGTAAGCAGTTAGGGCAGCCAAAGCCACCCTCAACACGTATTTGTTGTCGGCCTTTTAGGGTTAGGGATTTGTGGATGACAAATGGGAACAAATAATGAGCATCTATTAGGTAATCTTACTCGAACAGCGAAACATGACACAAGGATTATTTCACTGTTCAGTTTGGCAGCGATATGTCGACCGTCAACTGACTTGAAGAGTGTGATACTACGGTGGTGAATCACTGCCTGTTCAAGTCGGCCCATTTTTTTTTATAAGTCGGCAAACGAGCATACTGATTACCTGATGGTAAGCAATCAGCGCCGCCCATGGACACCCGCAATACCAAAGGAGTTACGAGTGCGTTGCCGGCCTTTTGGGGATAGGGATTGCGGATATAAGGATCGGGAAGGGATAGGGGAAGGGAAGGGATTGGGCCTCCGGTAACCTCACTCACACGGCGAAACACAACACTGTGGGTTGTTTCACGCCGGTATTCTGTGAGGCCGTGGTATCACTCCGGTCGAGCCGACCCATTCGTGCCGAAGCTTGGAAAATTCATACCCAAACATATCTCATTTACATTTAATATAATATAGTATTCATAGTTAAGTCAATTAAGCAACATTAAACACTTCGCCAGTCTTATTTCACTTTTCAGTCTTGGTAATTCGAGAAGCAATAGCAGAATAATATGCGCGAACGTTCGTTGGGGATTTGATGAATTAACCCAATACCATTAGACAACGAGCCTTTTGCTTAATAGCCGTATTATAGACACAATACCCCAATTATAACAGAGAATTTAGTAAATAATAATTATGTTAAATTATAAATTAAACTTACATTTTAATACTGACACTAAGGTACTACCTTAACACCGAGAGATAAGACTTAAAATGAAGGCCAACTCAACGAACCGATCCTTTTAAAGTGTCATTAGTTGGTACTTTGCTCTTTACTTGCTTGACTAAGAAACTGCTGTAAATCATTTATATGGATTTTCATACATAAAAAAATCAATATATTTTTTTAATGCCGGCTTTTTAATTTCATATGACACGTAGTTTAAGTAGATATTAATAGAGAAGGCCTTAAAATTATCCTTCTTTTACGATGTTTCACTATGTAACTAAAGATAGATATTTATTAATATTTTACTATGTTTTATAATCTTTTATAGAAATTAAGGAACATAATTATTTACCTGATTAAATATATGATTGTTTCCATTTTGTATTTTAACAACGATTCGCAAATCTCTGATTTTGTGAGGTGTTTTTTTTATACATCACATTGATGGTTTACAATCTCCACGGACTCGGGGCCCGTGCCCTTGTCAAACAATATCCAATAAATATTAATAAAGTTTCATATTTAAATAATACGCATTTTACATACTCCAACTAACCACATAATTATAGTATTGATAAGAAATTACATGTTACATTTAAATATCAACAATAATACAATCTAATTTATATTACATTTATCGACGGCTCTGCCGAGTCAGCCCACCAACACGCTGGATGAGCCAGCCTGCTCCAGCAATCAGCTAGGTGAGTTTTTTTAGGTGTTTATATACTAAGGTTTTTAAGATTTTAAATGGTTAGATAAAAGTTTCCTAGGGAATAAATTATGAAACTATCGCGTCAGAATGTTTGTATAAGACAGTGACAGCAACAATTTTATTCCTCAGATAATATATAGAGTAGACTTTTGAAAAATCAGCCCTAAGTAAAATTAAATATCAAATTCAATTAACTTTTTAGGTTTCTTACCCGCTATACCAATCAACCGACATGGTTTTTTACGACTATTTAAACTAATTGTGACTGTTAAAACAACGCATGTTAACATTATTCCAGTAGTTGTGACTAGATGATGTAGGCCGAGGTTGCAGTTCAAGCACAATAGGAACAGGGGTCGTTTTTAGCTAGTAAGCGTCTGAGACTCCCTTTAACCTCACCTGAGAGAAGCCATTTAATTTTGATTATATTTCCACCTCAAAAAACACATGTTACTTGATTGATGAGATAATAACGTAGTTACCTAGACTTCGGCTGCTTATAGAAAATTTACTTAAAACATAATGCCACATTATTTTTTCTCAAAAGATAGATGATATTTTCAATGGTTTTTGAAAGGAACCCTTTAGTACGTGTATTCACATCACCAGCCTAAAAGGGCCCACTGCTCACTAAAAACCTCTTTTCACACAAAGAATGTATGAACATTAATCACCACGCCAGCTTTAGGCGAATAGTCAATATAAAACTTTTAATCAGAAAGCATAAGTCCAGGGGGGTAACCATGACATTCAAAGTAAGACTGTTTCAATCTTACTTCAGTATGGGTAAGAGACAGAGCTAGACAACTTGTATAGCTCTTTCTCTTACCCACACTGATATTTCAAACGATAAACTGTATTCCTTCACCATGTGCGTGATGTCTGGGTCCCTCCCCTAAGCTCTAAATCTCTAAAAAAATCTAAAAAATCCTCCGTTCGAGTTTCTTGCTCGTTCTTTTCCATCAGAATCTACACTTTGGAATGAGCTTCACTAAGAGAGAGGACTGACCGGCAGACTGACAATATATCTTAAAAAGTTTGTTTGAAGTTCAAAAGTGCCTTTAAGGGTCTAATTGGAATAAATGTTTTTTTTACTTTTGACCTTTGTTCCTTCTCCTGCTCCAGACCTCTCTCGTGTGACATTAAACAACAACCTGGGCTGATCTGTGGTGGATAAAACACCATTAGGCTCTTTGAGGGCGAACCACGCTACGAGTCGCGTCGTTCGGTTCATCATACATTGCTCATAAAGTTCGTGTGTTTGTTTTTGCGCGTCAGATGACGCGCTCTCATACTGCAATGTACGACGAACGCACGACGCGCCGTGTTAACGCGGCCTAAGTATTCTGTATAGGCAGGTATTTTCGTTCTCAAAATTTATTTAATGAATAAATAAATGAAAATTATTGTTGTTACTAATTAGTGAAACGTTTAAATAGGTATATTTATTAATGTGACTTGTGATATGTAATTAATTATAATAATTTATTCACATGATTATTTTTATTTTAACATAAGCTGCTGGTTTTTTTTTTTATTAGCAAAAAACAATGATATTGTAATTATGTACTTACATGTTAAATAATACATAGATCTGGTCGGGTCTGGTCGGTCTTCGATTTCAGTTACTTAGGTGGGTAATACTTTATTTTATAAGTTTGTCAATAAATATGCAACATTTTAGCATTGTATGTCAGACAGCGTCAGATATGTAGAGAAATTCAAAGTACTAAATTGTATAGACGTACACAAACCGCCAAAAATTCGGTACAACAAAGTTACCATATAGATATTTTCACTCAGTGTCATAAATATCGGTACAATTTAACTGGCAATGGTATTTAAGCATTGTAAGTGTTCAAAATATGGAACACGTAAGGAAAATGAGCTTTAAGACCTTGGATTATAAATATTATGTCACACGTCTATAGTTACTAAAGGTTTTGGACACTATTGCTGTCTTTTTCAACCCTGTCCTTGAGTAGTCCTTGAACACCCTGATTGTCACCTATATTTTTGATGCTGACTGTACCACGTGAAAAGTACTGCTTTTAGAGGACCAATTTTCATAATCTCTGATTACGTTTTGTTTTTGAAGTTTCTTTTACGATCCATTAAACGATGTCAAGCTGGTTTTCTCATTAAAAAACAGTATATTAAACCCGAATTGCTTACAATTACGCATTTTTAATCAAGTAAAATGCATACAAAGATAGTCTTTGTTCGTATAAACAAAATATTGAGGCCAATGGCATTTGATTAAAAAATAGAGCGGCAGACGTGCAGACGACTGATAATAAGCAATCAGCGCGACCCATAGACATATGACAACAAAGGAGTTACAAGTACGTTTCCAGGTTTTTCGGGTGGGGATTTTTATGCTTCGGCAAAGGAGCCGATGGATTATTTATTTCATAAAATATGAAGGTTGGCAACGCACTCGTTTTTTTTGTGATAGGTCGGCAAACGAGCAGACGGATTACCTGATGGTAAGCAATCAGTTGGACACCTGCAACGGAGGAGTTACGAGAGCGTTGCCGACCCTTTAGGGATTAGGGTTTTGGAGATTGAGGGATTGAGAAGGGATTGGGGGAGGGGAAGGATTGGGCCTCCGGTAACCTCACTCACACGGCGAAACACAACGCTGTGGTTGTTTCTCGCCGGTTTTCTGTGAGGCCGTGGTATCACTCCGGTTGAGCCGACCCATTCGTGCCGAAGTATGGCTCTCCCACACTTAAAAGTAACTGCATTACGAGAAAGGGTATTCTACTATAATCGAATAGAAGTTATGATGCGGAGCGAAGAAAACTGGGAATCCGTATCCTTCTACTGCAAAGCGGTCTTCGCTGCAAAAAAGTACGCGAAGCGAATGATAGAACTACATACACTACTGTATATTTTCTGATACTCCGGACGTCGGGAACCGCTCGGCTTATGCTGTAACAGTAAGCGCTGGTCTCTACGGCGTACGGTGACCAAGGATAGCTCGCCGCCAGACCAGAACCAGGTCACGTTGCGCGAGTACCTCGAAAGCAAAGAGTCAAAGAGATCACCTCAGATGAGGCCCAATAGTTCCGATGTTCGGAAGGGGTTGCGGGTGCATCGCAGTTATGTAGTTCCAGTTCTCCTTAGAAAAAAGTTTTTCTGAGAGTGTTCCTAAAGAAAACACGAATATTAGTAAGTATTTCGTTAAATCAATGAATGAAATATTTTACTTTTGACCTAGTCAAAGTAGGTACTTAATTGTATTATCTATCGTTGAACACAACAACGCTTACATAAGCACGTCAGTTAAGTAGGCAAACGCCAAGTATAAATCATAACGAAAGAATTTCTTCCGTCCGAGATTGTGTCGTTTCTTCAATACAATCTACAAACAGATTACCTTATTTATGATATTTTTCCGTCACACGATAAACCAAGACTCGTGTAAACATTTACGTATATTGTATAAAAACATATATATATTTTAATTTTAAAAAAAGTTTTTCAATTGTTATTTCTAACTGTTTACCGATATCCATGGTCCTGGCGAACTTCGTACTACATCAAAACTAATGACAGTTGACATAATAATAAACAAAAAGTGTGGAAAACATTTTCGTCATTTGAGATTTTTTCCCACAGCTAGGGAAGGTTCACACTTTTCCTATAAAATCATTAACCAATTCTATTTGTGACTAATATGCCTTTGATTCTTGCTTTCGAGATCACGTGTGTCATACATCATAATAACCCTATAAGTGCCTACTGCTGAGAAAAGGCCTCTTCTCACACGGATAAAGTTTAAGCATTAATCACCATGCTTGCTTAATGTAGGATAGGTTAAGTCAGCTATACTCCTAAAACAAATTGAATCTCCATCAGAAAAAACTGCTACTAGGATCGTACGCCAATTAATTCTCTGTCTGTCTGAATTAAAAGTGTATCGCCAATGTATACTAATGTATAGGTATGACAAACAACACGCAAATATAATATTTTGCTATTACAATCTTATCAACCCATCTCTAATTGAACATAAGCTATTGTAAAGATATTCATCCTAAACTGGACTTCAGTACAAAAACTTAATGATGATGACTTGTATCAAAAATAAAAAAACATGCCAAAAAACCTAACCACCTCCTTGGTCTAGTAAATCAAGTTTGGAACCTATACTTTTTTACTTTCTTTCACTAAATTTTAAAATGGAACTGGGCCTTTTAAAATGGAAATGGGCCGGACACGTCAGCCAAATGCACTGGAGAGATGGGCCACTATTGTCACGTCAGGCGAGGTAATCCCGCCTCAAAGAGCCAATAGACCACCACAGTCGGGGCCCTAAAGGACTGATGTTTAGCCGGGGCTGCCGGGTAAGCGCAATGAGGCACCGCGACCTCGGCCCAGAGCAGGAGAAGGAACGGGGGGGTTTTTAGTCAGTAAGAGTCTGACACTCTCTCTCGCCTTACCCTGGGCGGGAGAAGTCATTGGATGATTTTCCCCTGACAAAAAAAAAAGGCGAGGTAATCCCCGGAAAAGATGGCGTGTGCAATCTAGACGCCTATCGTCGAGACTGGTGGATACGGTCGAAAGGTCGGAAGGTGTTGAAGCGAGATGAGGAGGCCTTTGCCCAGTAGTGGGACATTAAAGGCTAGAAAAGAAAAATTCTATTTGTGTGGGAGGTGATATCACGGCTCGACCGGAATGATACCAACACGGCCCTATAGAAGACCGGCGTGAAAGAATCACAGCGGTGTGTTTCGCCGTGTAAGTGAGGTTACCGGAGACCCAATTCTTCTCCTCTCCAAATCCTTAACCTCGTTCGTTCACCTCCATTGTGAGGGGTGTCCATGGACGGCGCTGATTGCTTACCATCAGGCAAACGAGCAGACTAAGTAGTTTGCCGTCATATCGCAGAAAAAAAACTTCATGAAACTTGTATCAAATCCGTGATATTGTTATATTACTAAAAGGTATATAAGTAGTTACGTACGTACTGCAAATTGTAATTCAATTACTTCGTTAGAATTACGAAATAAGAAGTTTGATCGACATCGGCTTCGTAAATAACGTTGATTAACACTAACTATTTACTTACAGACATTTTATGATGTTGAAGTTATTATTGTACAAGACAGTTGTATACTATATGTCGGCAAATGTAATGTAGATTTATGATAATTGTTTAACCCGCCTATTACGACGAATCTATACTAATATTATAAAGAGGTAAGATTTGTATGGTCTGGTCGGATTGCCTGATTGATTTACTGATAGATAGCTACAATGTTTCCGAGTGCTTATATGCTTAGGCTTAAAACATCACGCTACAATAAAATAGAGAGAGCAGCGAGTGAAATCGCGCAGGAGTAGCTAGTTTATAGATAAATTCAGAACACTGGGCTCCATAGCGTTTTTTGTGTACGTACCAATAAGGATGTCTCTTTTACATTTTGTTGGTAAGTAAATATGTTCTTTGAATTTGAACGTACTTATAAAAAAACAGCCGATCAATGAATGTAATTGGTCGAATAGCGATTTTATTGTACTAGAAAGAAAAGTCAAAATCATTTGTTCTTAACTGAGAAAACTACTACTACCATCTTGTGTTGTGTGTTAGGTGCTACCACGGCCAAACAACATCATGCCTAGTCTATCTAATGCTTAAATCTTAAATCCACAATAATGTTCTAAGTCACCCATTAAATGTCTTGTTGTCAAGCTTATCTTTGACAATCACGGAAGTAGGTACTTTTGTCAATATCTACCTAAATAATCTACCAATTTTACAAAATATAAGTATATTTTTTGACGTGAACGTTTCTAGAAAATTTCAGATCAGTTAAATCTTGTTCAATGAGAAGGTAATAGGTAAAATCTACTACTGTAATTGCTTAGTCAACTGAATTAGTGCTTAGCAAAAGTTGGATTGAACTTTGTGTAGGACACAAAGTTCGACCTATAAAACAAATAGATACTTTAAAAATAATTGTAAGCTAAGAAAGCAATTAATGCGAAGTAATTTATAAATGTTTTAATTTATATGCAAGATGTTTTGTACTTGTTTTTAAACCAAATTTTACTTAGAAAGCAATGATAGCTTGTATTTTGTTTTAAAGTTGCCGATGATAATAGATCAGCCACTTATTATGTATAGATTATGATCGATCGGGGTGGAGATAGTTGAGATTTTACCAAACACTTATGTTGATAAATGTAATAATCTACATATACATAATAAAGATTAAAATGAGTGTAAGGCAAAATTAATTAAGAAAAACAAATAACGTCAAATAGTTTTGTTTGAAGTATTTACGCGGCACGAGTTTATATTACAGACTTTAAAGTTCAAATTCATGCAAAATACTTATAACTCACATTCTAACATATTTGGGTTGTTAAGGAAAAAAGTCTTCTATATTATATAAATCAAGATTTAAAGACTAAATTAAAAATCTCATCGTCATCTAATTTTATCTGGTCTTTTTTGTTATTGACCTTCTCCCCTATATGAATTTATTCTAGAAAACTTTGGAACATTCTCTCTAGTTTGGCTTTCCTAAATTTTGTTATGACATCGTACAACAGTTATTAAAACAAAGAAATGTAGTATTAATTATAAAAGTGCAATACTTCGGAAAGGATTCATGTAATCACGGAAATAATTACACGTTTTTATTAGCAATTTTATTAGTAACGTTATTCGATACTAGTCTTTATTGAACTCTGCCATTACTTCCTTTTACGCCAAGATTCATTAAGATAATACTCTGATTAAAACTATCTCTACTATGTTGATATATTTTATAAAGACTAAAACAACCTGTGACATCATTTAAAAGGCTTAGCATAAATGCAAAAAGAGGAAAACAAAATATTTTTTCCCAAAAGAGAGCTTAGATCATGCGCCAACGCAAGCGTTTGCGCACGATTTAAAACACCTGCCCAACGGAATCAAGTTCGCAATGCGCAGGAGTGGGCACTGCGTGGACTGAGCCCGTATCTCGTCATACCGTCACCGTCCGACCGGAATGGCGTACACGTGCGTGCGATCGCTCTTCGTTCTAACTTGTAAGTCTTTTAAACTGTTTACATTTATTATTAATATCTTTTTAATCTTTAAAGTTTTTTTTAAGGCAGTGTATTCTTTGTCGTGTCTGTGTGTATAATGTTGTCGTTTTGTTACGAAATTACTGATGTGATGATAGCGTAGTACTTATTAGAGGTACTTTACCTAAACATTATGTTCCATTGCTTAACTTTCGTCGCGTTTTGTCGTGAGATAATAATAATAATTGAGATTTATTTAGTTTATTAAGGTTTTTTGTAAAGCAATTTGGAACCTTTTCTTATAAAATACTCTAATATTTATGGTAGAGGTACTTACAACTATGAATTGTCCAAATCAATTTGTTTAAGTGGTAGTTATGAATAGGTATCCCTAAATAATAAAACATAAACAAACATAGTACGTACCTATATAAATAAAAACACATATGTTTTTATTTATTTTGGCATCTCTGCACATAATGACTCTATAGATTTCTCTCATTTTTTCGTCTCGTTTCAAAACAGGTAATTCAGGTTCATTCAATGAACTTTAACAATGACTGAATCACATTTTTATTGTTCTCATTTTTATATAGTTCATTATGAATATCGGTATTTTAGGGAATACACAATGCTATTATAGTTACCATCGTATTTTTTCGTTGAATACTTGTGTTTATTGATAAATGTCATTGAACTCTATCTCTATAAACGGTTGGAACGATTTTGATTGTTTTGAGATAGTTTTTATTTAGATATATAGGTAGAACAAAATGTTGTAGAAGTTGATAGCTTAAATCTCTCAGATTTATTTATTAAAAGAAATAATTTAATGTATTGTTGTCTCATCGTTTTATAAGAAACCTTATCGTAAATACACAAGATTTATGTATTAATTTCTAAATAACATACTTGAAAACTATTAAGCGGGTTTTATGGGAGAAAATAAAACAAATGGAGAACTAAAAGAACCAAAGATCTTAAAATGTTTTTTCTAAGAGACACGTCTATATTATTCTTACGTCTTAAATAATTTTCTCAATAGAGAATGCTCAACCATTCAATTTTAATCGTTATCTTTGTTTAAATAGTGTCTATAATTAATTACATTTCTGTTTTCGTGTCTTAGGACCCTTATTGATACCAAATCAATTGCTCAAGTGAATTCGAATAAGAAATCTGAATAAAACATTAGAAACACTTCAAAAAGTTCTGTTATTCAATTTTGCACAGTAATCTTATGCAAATAAAGTACAGTTTAATGTTACGCTGTATCTAAACGTACCATTACCAACGGTAAGTGTTACGCTTCGTTGTCAGTTATGCTAAGGCATGTAACGTTTGATACCAATACAAACAGTACGCACGAACAATAGTAGCGTTATGTGTAAGCGACCTGATTGAATGTATGGCCAGTTATGACCAGAGTAACATGGCCTGTAAATTAAAACTTGGTGCTAATAAGCTTGGGTCATCTTGTATTGGCTATTCTATGTAACTGACTAAAATACTGAGGAAATTTTGGGTTGTTATTGTTACAGTTATTTCTACCAACCCTTTTAGGAAACGTTAGGATATTAGAAATAAACAAGATGTTAAAGAATGAACGCAAAAAACCTTACAGGAAAACTAAAGACAAAGAATAACTTTAAACAATTTTGTAAGTTAAACCACGACCTTACACATAACTAATGTGAAACAATGCTCACGTTATGTTTGGCCCTATAAGTAAAGTACTCGGAGGCCTAATCCTCAAAAACCTTTTTACGCTAACCTTCAAAAGGCGCCTAGCTTTTAGGGAAAAGCTAGGGAGTATGGAATAACCCCCAAAAAGTCAGCAACGTACTTGTGACTTCTCTAATATTGCGAGTATCTATAACCAGGGTCGATTAATAAATATCACGTAATCAGTCTGTTCATTTGTCGATGAAAAAAATAAATTTGCAAATTACAAATAAAAAAATAAAGATCCAGTGTCTTTGGAATAGGTGATCAGACACTGGATCGTTAAAAAATTCTTAGATCTTTTTGCTTTAAAATTCGTTGGCCCTTCTCGGTACTGTCGAATGGTTTTTTTATGTGACAAGAATATATTATGTTTATAACTATCAATCTACGATTATCTATAGCACCTACCTACATATGACCTATACCTTGAATAAGTAACATAAAACTAGTCGCTTTGTTTGGCTGATAGCGAAAATAATTTAAAAGTTAGATTTTCCGTTTTTCGAAGTTCACTATTCAAAAGTACGTTACGACCATAAAGAGGCTAACTTAAACTAGTGCTTAGTGACTAAACAATCACGTTTTCCAAGTCTTAGAAAGCCCTAGAAGAAAGGTTCCCAAGATGGCGAAAAATGTAGACAGTTTTTTAAAACATACGACACCATGGTCGTAGTCTTATGAGCAAAGGCAGTTGGGCTTCTCGTATTCGAAGTAATAACAAGTATTTTCAGTCTTGCTCATGAACAAACAAAAGGGTACAAGGGTAACCCTTCAGTATAAAATAGAATAAATCTCCGAAATGACAGTACGGTTGGTGCGGTGGCTGGACAACTGGCTGCCGTGCAACGTGTCGCGGGTTCGATTCCCGCACGGAACAACTGTGTGTGATCCACAAAATGTTGTTCCCGGTCTGGGTGTCATGTGTATGTAAAATTGTATGTTTTACTCATAACCTTTAACCGCACCCACGACACAGGAGAAAATCCTAATGTGGAGCAACGTGTTTTTAAAAAAAAAAAGGAAGGGTCATACTTTTGCCGGCTAATTTGTCTGGTCGGCTTGACAGAGTGATACAACAGCTTCACAGAAAACTGAAGTTTGAAACATCCACAACATTCGCTGACTGAATGAGGCTACCGGACTCCCGATCATTCTTCCCCTCCCCCAATCTCTAAATCTCAGAAACCTAATCCTTTACTAACCCTATCTAAATCATGTTCATCCATTTTCCCATTTTTGCGACTCTTGTTTATTTTGGACTGAAAAATGTAATGAATACATAAAAAACAACATTCCCATGCCTACTATTAAGCAGATGTACGCAATGTTTTATTTGAATGGACGTTCAAAATATTATGAAATAATTGTAAACACAATTGTTTCCTACTCAATGTTTACAATAGAAAATGTTTACAATACCACACACCAGTGAGTCTAAGCGTATTATGAGAAAATGATGAGATAAGTTATAGATATGGTTGTACATTTAAACAATCTCCTGAGAGGGAGAGATAATTTGTTTATAACTAGAATCCGCCAACGGCTTCGCCCGGTAAAATAGCCTATGTTCTATTCCGGCATGTATCTTTTGCCTGTGTCAAATTTCATCCAGATCCATCCAGCTGTTTTAGCGTGATTGTCTAGCTAACAAATATATTTAATAATATATTTTTTTTTCGGAATTTGGCCGCTATCACGCGTGGTGGTAAACGATAATGCGACCTACGACGAAGCATGCCTACCCATCAGCAACCTATTCACTCGGGCCTTGAAGACTAGGTATATTACTCGACAAAAGTCACATTACTACTTGCCAGGTTTCGAACCCGGACCCTCGTGCATGGGAAGCGGGTGCCTTAACCTCCGAGCCACCACGACACATAGAAATGTTCTTCAATCACTCTACATTAAAAAACGCATCAAAATCTGTTGAGTTATTTTAAAGATTTAAGCATACATAGGGGTATAGGGACGGAAAAAATGACTTTGTTTTATACAATGTAGTGATTTATAACTATGTAGGTAGTATATAACTTAGGGCTTTGTCGATGTAATGAAATATATATATGTATCTATACATTCAAAGCTCAAAACAAAATCAAATATTGTGTAAACCAAACGAGTACTTGAGTCAATTCGTATTTACCTGTGTATTTTAGTATAGTAAATAATATTGTACAAGTTGAGAAAATACAAAAGATTAAAAAAATAGCCATGAGGTGCACGCTGCTCATGAATAAGACACCCGCAGAAGGCGACATTCGGGGCGTCGGGGATCGCGAGATGATATCCGGGCACCGTAAGCGCGGGTCTGCGGACGGCGAGTATGGGTAGCTCGCCGCCCGACCAGAACTAGACCAGAGCGTACGGCGCGATGCCTCAAAGAGCCACACCACCACAGACGGGGCCCAATAGGGCTGATGTTCAGCCGGGGGAAGCACAATGAGGCACCCGCGACCTCGGCCCAGAGCAGGAGAAGGAACGGGGTTTTTAGTCAGTAAGAGTCTGACACTCCCTCCAGAAGTCATGTGATGACTTTACACTTACAAAAAAAAAATAGGTTAGGATCCTAGTCATCCTAGGTTAGGGGTGCGGCAGGAGAAAGAAAAGAGTTGTTTAGTCAATAAAATCTGACACTCCATCTCGTCTCACCCAGGGCGAAAGAAGCCAATTGATAACTGCCCCCCCCCCCTCCCCCCGCTCCCCTCATGAAATGAATAAGCAACATAGGTCATAGTCACTAGTAAACTAAAAAACACAGGTTATCTGGAAAGTTCTGAGGTTAGACAAAGAAAACAATTTCTCGGTAACATCGAATGTTGATCTAACAATACGGTTCGTCACAAAGTCACAAACTTCTTACAATTCTCATCGTTAACATCATTGTTTTACAGATGGAATGTTTTCCCATTGAAAAAGGTTGAACACGTTTATACCGCTATTTCGAGAATGTAAATAAAAGAAACGCGTTTATGGAAACGATGTTCCATGAGATCAGTGGTAGTTTTGTATGGGCTATGCTAAGTTTTTACAATGTTTATCAGTAAGTGTGGAAGAGCCATGCTTCGGCGAATGGGTCGACTAATACGGCCGGTGTAATACCACGGCCTCATAGAAAACCGGCGTAAAACAACCACAGCGTTTTGTTTCGCCGTGTGAGTGAGGTTAGCGGAGGCCTGATCCTTCCCCTCCCCCAATCCCTAAATCTCCAAACCCCTAATCCCCAAAAGGTCGGTAACGCAATCGAAAATCCTCCGTTGTTGCGGTTGTGCGGCGAAACACAACTCAAGCGCACGGTATATACACTATATGTATATTGTATATACTTGTGGTATCACCTCAGTCGAGTCGGCCCACTCCTGCCGAAGCATGGATCTCCCACACTTATTCACCTACATTTTCAACAGCAAGCAAAGTATGATCTGCGTGATCGTAATTTGGAAACGAGTTCTTCCGACACTCGCTAACAGTTAAACATGACATGTTATGTGTATGTAACACATCCATCAACTTCAAATTAAAACAGTAACCTACACTTAAGTGCAATTAAATAATAACCAAGGATTACATTACTGAAGGCTCCACGCAACTGATTGAGTGTAAAAAGTATTAAATAGAAAAACAAAAGACGCATTCACGCATCCAAAACGCTCGTTAAAATCAGACATTAACATTTTTATTACCGGTCTATATTTGGTAATAGCGTAAACAAGTTTAATTTGACGCATCATTGCTAATTTAATGCCTTCACCTGTTGCCGATTCACTTGGCTGAAGATGAGAATTTTCAAAGAAAGCTTTCGTAATGTTTCGTCAAATTGTTACCAACTCAGTTTCAATTATATTGGAATACATTTCTTAATGATAGTGTTGCTGATTAGATAAGGATTAAGCGCTGTAGTTATCAAAGAAGTTCTTAAATAGAAAACAGATTTTAATTTGATCTAGGAACAATATGTATCATAATATTTATTTAGGCTCATCATGCATGTTCAGTCACTAAACTTATTTGGCGACCAAGCCGATCAATGGTTATAAAAGATATGGCGTCATTAAAACGCGTAATTTAATGTAACAATAAGTAGCTACTGTCTCTGTACTCAGACAATATCTCAGACGTAATGCCCAATCCATTAATAACGTTCTATATAATTTCATATTAGGTCCACGTAGTAAATATTTGATTTAGTGCTAGCCAGAATGGACCAAGAATGTGGACTTGAATGGATAATATGGAAAAGCTCTAAAGGAAAAAGGCAGCTCACTGATGACTTGGGTTACGGCAAGGCACTGTCGAATTGGATGAAAGTGTTGATCTAAGTGTGGGAGAGCCATGCTTCGGCACGAATGGAGTGATACCACGGCCTCACAGAAAACCGGCGTGAAAGTACCACAGCGTTGTGTTTCGCCGTGTGAGTGAGGTTACCGAAGGCCCAATCCTATCTCTTCCTCAATCTCTCCTCAATCCCTAAATCTCCAAATCCCTAATCCCTAAAAGGTCGGCAACACACTCGTAACTCCTCCGTTGCGGGTGTCCATGGGCGGCGCTGATTGCTTACCATCAGGTAATCCGTCTGCTCGTTTTCCGACCTATTACATAAAAAAAATGTGTTAAGAGATAGACAATATAAGAACCTAATAGGTACGGATGGATGGAAAACAGAACAATTTAGTATTCACCTAACAACACTACCAATGTAATGATGACCCTGCCATTAATCATACACCTCTTTAGCTATAAAAAAGTTATAAAAAATATTACCACTATAACCTTAGACCTTCAGACATAAGTAATTTTCTAATAAAGTTTTATGTATGTTGTATAAAACAAAGTGACTGGTTGATAAGGCACAATGGCCATCAAATAATTAGTACGAATCAACTGAACTGATCTTGCTACAATTTTTTTTTATGTAATTGGTCGGCAAACGAGCAGACGGATTACCTGATGGTAAGCAATCACCGCCGCCCATGGACACCCGCTACGGAATTACGAGTGCGTTGCCGACCTTTTAGGGATTAGGGATATGGAGATTTAAGGATTGAGGAGGGATTGGGGGTGGGGAAGGATTGGGCCTCCGGTAACCTCACTCACACGGCGAAACACAACGCTGTGGTTGTTTTACGCCGGTCTTCTGTGAGGCCGTGGTATCACTCCGGTCGAGCCGACCCATTCGTGCCGAAGCATGGCTCTCCCTCATCAATTGGTGTAAGTGACGTTTCAAAAACTTGTGAGTGCTGGAGAATCTCAAATAGTACTTATAAGTTCTGTTGGCTTATAGCTCTCACACTCCGTTCTCCTCTCGTCTTTTCAGTGACTAATAATTTAACTTATAAACATAATTTATATCTTATCTTAAAGTAAGAAAGTTGTATATTGATTGATGGAGTCGTAGGCGTCAAGGTTGCTCCATAAACTAACAAATTCCTTTGCTTATATCAGCAGCTGCGAGTTAAATAATTTCTATTCATGTTTAATAAAATAGACTGTAACACTAGGTGAATAGGTTTAAAATTGAACATCAAGTATCATAACAATGCTAGACAATTTGAATAAATGGAATTCTAACTTAATGAATCACAGAATTGTTTATGCGAAACGTGTGTATTTTTATAAACTTATATCTTGATCGTGATTTCTTGAATTCTTAAGACCTCAATTCTTAGTAGGTATGTCGTAAATTTGAGAACGATAGATAATGTCTTGAAAATAAAAGAGTCTAAAATAATTTTAATTATCATGGCGTCATCTTGCATGGTCACGTACAAAAAGAAACTATGCAAAACTGTTCATAGCAACCATATATAAATAAATAAATTATAGGCCTACAAGCTGAAGCCAATACAAACAAGTGCTAACTTAACTTAACTTATTAATTATTAGACCATGCATCGTGTCTTAATGTCGTAAGGTTATGGCGTCCGCATTTCTGCACTAAATTTTAGTACCCAATTCCTTTTTGTTTGAGTGCAATATAAAACCAAGTGCGAAATCAAGTCAAAGTCACGGCATGAAAGATTGGGCCTAAAATTTAAATCTGTCAACTTTTGATGAATTAAAAACAGATTCGTCAAAAAGTCGGGAGTCAGTAGTATAGGAGTACCTACCTACAAAAGATCGCGTGTTTCTAACAAGACTCGTAGCGTAAGAATAACAATAGGTAGATATATAGCTAACAAAACCAGATAGATAATCATATTTTTTACTGCTTTATCGACCAACGTGGTTAGTCTTGGACAGTTTGTTTATTTAGGTTAACATTTAACCATTCAATTATACGCAACATCAAATCAAGACACGTAATCCCAAGTGTATTTGTTAGTAACTTCTTAAGCTTTACATACGCACATGTACCTAAAATTAGGAATAAATTCCTAACTTTACATATAGGTACATATTGTAAATGTGTATGCTTAAATTGATGCAAGCAAATCGTGTACAAACTAACGCAAATCCAAACTAATATTATAAATGCGAAAATAACTCTGTCTGTCTGTCTTGTCTTCACGCCTAAACTACTGAACCGAATTCTGTGAAACTTGGTAAAGACATAGTTTGGAACTTGAGAAAGGACATAGGATAGTTTTTATATCAAAAATTTGTTGGAAGTCACTATTCCACGCGAACGGAATAGCGGGCAAATAAATAAATCGTAGGTAACACGTATCCGTTTATATTTTAGAGTTTGTAAAGGTACGGTTGAATGAACACCGTGAAAGTCTTGCCTCACCTACAACACGTATTCATTGTGTAATATGGAGCATGCTATTTTTTAATGTAACTACTAAAGGGTTCCGTTCGTCCGTACCAAATGCGGGCCTTGAAAACCGGTTCGAACAAGACGGGATCTGATGTTGCAAATGTGCAAACAGGGATATTATGTTCTTTTTGTATATCATCTCGCTGTTACTATGCTGATGTTATCATGTACCGTTTCAAATCTGAGATACTTAGGTAGGCGTTTCGACTGGATTCCCGATTTAAGTAGAAATTAGAATCCAAATCCTCCAAAAACCTGCTAATTTATTTATTTATTTATTTAAAAATAAGCACACCAACAATACAATCACCCAATTTTATACAAAAAAAAGCACAATGGATGAACAGGATGTACAAGCAATAATGTTTGTGACTAAATAATTTTTTATCTTCATTACAGTGTTACAACTATGCCGAGCTGAAATATCGGATTCATTACCAGAATCCTGGTATTCCGCAAACGTGATCAGTGATGGCTTCCAACCTAAACCAATATCGGAGATATTTTCAACCGGACCGCCATTTTCCACAACAAACCCGATTGTTGTTTTGCCGAAAGAATCCAGTTCCGTGCCGGACGAGATCTTGTTGTTATCAACATTAGCACCACCGAGGAAAATTTCAACGACTGGATCTTCAGAATTTACAAAACTATCAACAGCAGCGTTAGAATCTTCAACACCGCTACCTTCTACGTTTCATACTATACCACCTTCATCAGTACAAACAATACTACCAACCACTTACCAAACGACACCATCAACATTTCTACCATCGTCTTCGACATTTTTACCACCCTCATCAACATTCCTACCATCACCATCAACTACGCGACAGCCACCTATAGTTACTGAGCCAAAAGAAACTCAACCGTCGTCGCAATCAACATTCTCATTCCAACAAACAACTTTATCACTGCCACAACCACAACCGTCATCTTCATCTTCAAATTCAGCTCAAACGCTTTCACAACAAGTGAGACTGGAGCTTGTTCCTCAAGGGGTATCTATACAAACTAATGCTCCACAGAGCGTAGCACAACCTACACCAGGACCACTCTCCAACTACTTTTTGGTGTACCAACAAGCGCCGCAGTCCATTCAAAGCTTCCCATCTGGAACGTCGCAAGAAGTACCTCAATTCAGTACAGCTAGCCCCAGCACTAGTACAGGAACACCATCGACAGTAATCATTCAACCAGCCCCGAGCGTGTCTCCCCCTTCAACGCGAACTGCGCCTCCTTCACCAACAACTCCGCTCCCATCGACAACTCGAGTCCAAACGAGACCGACGGCAAGAATAATCAATAAAGGTTGCAAAAACGTTACAACCAATCTTCCAATGTCGAAGTTATCAGAATTAGGACCTCTAAAAATCAGAGTGCTTGCCCCCAGTGGATCCATAACGAACGTCAACTTTGTCGCAAAAACGACGACCACGAAAAAACCAACTACTACCAGAGCTCGAAAAACTAGCAAACCTAAGAAAAATACGTATGAGTTCTGTATAGACGGCTGCAGGGGGAAGAGAGAGCCAATATGTGCAGCCCCACTATCCAGTACTTTCCTGGATCCCAAAACTTTAAAGGGCTTCCCGTCGGTTTGTCATATGGCTTGCCATAACTCCTACAGAAAGGATCGTAAGTATTGTACATATTTTATAATGAGTCTATTTTTATCTAAATTCGATTTTGACCTAAGCAAAGGATTATGAATACTTACACCCGGTTTCTGAAAGGTTTGTCAACGCTAAAATTAACTAATCTCCTGTTAAATTTCTTGTCAAGTCATATGATTGGTTGTTAATAATTCAGTCAACCAATCAGATGACTTGACAAGAGATTAAATTGATTTTAACATTGATCGGCCTTTCGGAAACCGGGGGTTAGTGACACAGTCTTATCAATGTAGAATCAAACATTAAGATGTGTATCGCACAAATATTTCATTCAACATGTCAGTTACACATCAAAGCCGTTTTTTATTGAAACGACTAACACAGTTGACGTACAAAAAACTACATTGAACTAATCCAACCGGGTTGATGCTGAAATTGCACGTCAGTGTGGCGTTATCGCTAGACGTTAAAAAATACGATTTCCTCAATCGATCGAATGAATGAATACCTAATCTTTAAAAGCAAACAGTGCATAAACACTAGCGTACTCACAAAAAAGGATTCTACCTACTTTAAAATTATATCGAATTCCACACACTGATTAGGTGGATACTTTATGCCCACTTGGCAAACTATGCAATCAATAATAGACAGGTAGCTATGTGGAAAACGTAACGGTTATAAACAGGTTTCTGGATTTAGATCACTGTTACAATACCATTTCTTTACAAAAAAGAATGTTCATTATTTCTACGTGTCATCTTTTGACACGTAGTCATGTATAAAATTAAGTAGGTACGCGATAATTAATAAAATAATTAGGTACTATTGGCTATTAAAAAATCACACAGTCTATTACAAATTTGATTAGATACTTACCTATACCATTCTATAAACATTCCAAGATGCTCATTGTTTTACGTCTTTTTAAATAAAAATCTCAATAATACCTACTCGGTTACGAACATAAAAACGATAGTCTTTTTAAATCTAGGTATTAAACTAATTTTACTCTTACCTTTTGCAGCTTATGAAAAGGTCCTGGACGGTCGTTGTGGCAGGCTGCGCACTCGAATCAAGACAGTCGACTCCAACACAAAATTGAAGAGGGAAGAGCTAAACAAGGCGCAGTACTTCCTCGACAATAGCGGTACTAAAACAATAGTCGAAGTCTCACCGTTAAAATAAAAAGAAAATAATTTAGAAGTACCTACTTACTTATAAGAAAATGCTGCAAACATTTAGTATATTACCCACCTGGTCGAAAATATGAATGGGTCATAGAGAATTAAGTCATTTTTAGGTACGTACCTATTTTTAAATCATTGCTTCTGCAAGTACTGAACTTTATGAATGCTACGATCAAAGGATTTTGGCGTTTATTACTCGGTTAGATTATGTCACTTTGGATGAGATTCCCTTACAATTTAAGTAAACGAACAAATATTTTAGACTCGATTATGGAACCGACTCAAAATCGATATTATGAGAATAGAATAAGTTATTAATTTAGTGTTATAAATGAAATTGTTATTGATTTACTTTTCATCAAAATATGCAAGAGATTATGTGTTGCAAACGCATAACGCAGTTTTGGTGTCAGTTCTTAAACGCCCAGCGGTTATAATTTGACACTACCAAAAACAAAAGAAAACGTTTCATTACCTACATGAAAAAAAATAATTGCCACCAATAAATTAAATTTTTACTCAAACTGACGTTTGAGTCGTTAGAAAACTTGGGCAATGGTGGTAAAAATGATGTAATTACCATATTACCTTAACTGGGATAGAAGGTAAATTGATGAAAAATAAATAGGTAATGTTTATTTACTGTGGGGAAATAAAAAAAATACAGTTGTACTATATGTCAGTTTGTATAAGGTGCCTGTTAAATTGGCCGTAAGACTGTAATTTTTAATATACATAGGCTTTACCTTAGGTATCTGTAATGCTGATACTTAATGACTCCACTATTTAATCATTGATGAGGAAGTTTTAAATGTATAATAACTTCCTCTTCAATCACTCAATCTATTAAAAAAAACAGCATCAAAATCCGTTGTGTCGTTTTAAAGATTTAAGCATACGTAGGGACGGAGAAAATGTCTTTGTTTTATGCTATGTAGTGATGTGTTATTTTGACTGCAATTTTGACTGATTTGTTTAAGCTGGTAGTTATATTGAGATTTCAATCGACTTCATAAAGTGCATTAGGGAAAAGGAACTATATAATTTATTGCAAATACAATAAAATTGTTATTTGATTAAAACTGATGCAGTTGAAGTCATAACTATTGTTATTGCCTTTTCTACTTATGTAAGAAAATAAATCATTTTATTCCGTCCATAAAAATGTACATAAATATTACTTATTTAATAAATAAACACGTTTTACAATAATAACTCTTGTTGTTTTAATTGAAATATATTTATTGTACTTCATACATGTTTTATTACAATTAAAATGTTTTACAATATTTACATTACATAGCGTTAGTAGTACAACTTGAATGTTTTGGTCGAACAATTTTATTCCTAAATAACTTTATATAAGTATTCGATATCAAGTTATGGATTTTACTGAAACTGTTCAGATCATCAATTTTAATAAAATCGACTGAGTATTGCAGATCGGAAAAAAGCTGAAATGGTATGAATACAAACACTGCTTATGGAAATTGTACTCCAAAAACAATCATTTCCTCATTATTTTTTAATACTACAGTGAAACATCTGGTAGTAATTCAATTACTATATAATAATAGAAAATTGCGAAACTCATTATTCGAACATGAGAATTAAGTCCGAAAGTCGTAAGTCTGCTTAAGTTCCACACTCTACGAACACTCAGCCAATTAAGATAATGTCATGGGAATCAGATTCATTTTTTTTTTTATCATAACTGCCCCTTAACCATAATATGGGCATAAACGCTAGTCGATTCGGATAAATAAAAATGTTACACTACGGATTTTTATTAGAAGACTTCATTGTCACATTTTGTTTAATGATAAGATTTGACCTAATCTGTCGAATGTCGTCGACAATGTTTCATACATTATTTTTTTGTATTCACTCGATCGAACTAGTGTTTATGCCATTTGACTTCTATGTGGAGTAAATAGAAGATCTGTCTCTGTATGTAAAAAGTGTCCGTTGTAGAAACACGACCAACACAATATCCTTTGCTGCAGCTAGCGCCACCCTCGGGAGCTGGACATTTTTTTAAACATCCCTCAAATTATATAGTTCTTCTTTCATCTATTCTCCATAGACTTATACCACACATGTATAAAGTTAATATCGCGTAAGTACAATAGGAATGATGACATGCTACTGAAATAGACATCCAATTTGTCTATCTGTTAGATAATATTAATATAATAAACACGTATGTACTTCTTTGTTGAGTAGACAAAAGCAAAAACGAGTATTGAGAGAAAAAAGATTTATAGTTTTATGTATACGTCATCGTCGAGTGTGAAAAGTACCCAAAACGTGACGTCATGAGCTATACTGCAAGAAGTTTGTGATAGCGTAAATAGTACGTAAAATTTTACATTTATTTACGTATATTTTCAATATTAGCAACGTATATGCAGCGTACGCGTCGCAGCGACGTCTTACCATATATAATATAGAAATACGTGTATTAACATTTTTATTTATGTAATCTTAGTACCAGTTAGACAATAATTATATTATTTTTGTCACCATTCCTATTAATACTTTTGTTAATAAAATATGTTGATGATGTAAACACTAATGTCAGTCTTTTACAAACTTTTTTTCTTATAATTATAAGACCATCTTACAATACCAATTCAAAGTATGTCAATTTTATAATTATTATTACATTACCGGCAAATAAAGTTTCATAAAAATGTTATCGATAAACTGTGTAAAGGAGTTTAATGTCACCAAAATAAACTAATAGTCACAAAATCCTGTTTGACAAAGGAATAGGCAAACTTATTAGCACTGGAGTTTCCAGGTTACAGTATTACTATGTTCTTTCTAACATTATTTAGACATAATAACTAGGTATCGTGAGACATACTAAATTAACTAAAAATCGCGGATTACCCACGTGTCGATCTTGTTCTTCAAGATGGAAGAACCCCTCTGTGGTTCGAAACTATAGCTTTTCTTATATTATCAAAGCTTTTCTCAAGATAGACACGTGAGTAACCCGCGATTTTGAGTTAATTATTTAGACACTACTGACATAAGATCACACAATGCAGAAGCCTGGACTTCTTATATTTAATTTACAATCTCTACCCCGTCTTATGCAAGGTAGATGATTAATCCGTTGAATGTCAGTATATAAGACAAAATAGAAAATACATTGTGTCACGCGTGGATCCATGTCTAAAACACACAAATAGTTAGTGCTCAAACTTTCTCCCTGTGAGCAGAGATCCTTAGCAAGGCGCACTCACATCATCACAAGATTTCAAAACGTGACGTCATCAGTTAATGCCAGTATGACAGTCAGAAAAGAGCAGTTTTAGTCAGTCATAACTCGATTGCATATATATATTTCTAGAGAATAATTTCATATAAAAAACTGCATCGAAATCCATACACATGTAACACGTTTATGGTAATAACACATAAACACTTGATGTATTCGAGAATTTTCACAATTCACGGCCACAGACCTTCTGTATCAAAGGTCTACATCTACACTCTTCTACACAGATCTTTCGACATCATTTTTCTGTACGTTACTTTAACTTATAAATTAATTAAAAACATAATACTTAAACATAAGGTATAAATTACAATGGTATACATTAGAACCTCTGTTGGAAATTGCCCTGTTGTTGCGAGCTTCCACCCTGTTGTTGGCCACCAAACATCATCTGTTGTTGTTGATGGAACTCTTGCTGACCACCGCCACCTGCGTTGTTGCCTTGATTCGGTCCTGTAATTAAATTTGAATAAAATAAGTATTCATAAAATGGTTAAATAAAATTAAAATTGTATGAAAATGAATAAAAAAAGATGTAAATACAACTAGATTATGTGAAAGTATAGGTAGAGGCTTTCTTTTAATTATTTTAACACAGCTATGTTTACTGCCTCGCCAGATGAACTGGTTTTTTTATTTTCATATTTCAACGTTTCGTAAGGCTACTGTCATGGCCAATTTGTTAGAGCATGCCATGTTTCATGATACTAAATTAGCCTCATTAGATTAATTGTAAGTTTATAGTCAAAAGGCCAAATTGTCTACACACATTTCGATGTCGAAAATCCCAACAACCCATGGCCCCATCAAAAACGAGATCTCTCGCTCTGCAGTTACGCTTGCAAAAGACCAACGATAGAGTCTAGCTAGCTCAGTACCAGTTGTTACTGAGCTATATTAAAAAAAAAACTTATGAATTTGGTAAAAACTATACAGTAGTACCCAGAACATACACAGTGAAATGCTTTTTACCAGTCAAGTACATATTTATGTTAATTGACCCCATGTCATGGAAGATGAGTAAACTTTCCTTTTTTTATACCTCTAGGCCTTTCATCCCTTAAGGCAGAGGTGTACATTATGAAACGTAAGGCCACGTATAAAATGTTCAACCACTTCATGAGTTACATTACGAGTCCTGTTACCTTGGGAACTCAATACAAAACTTCATCAAAACTTTCCGAAGATCCGAAAACAATATGGTAATACTTTGCCAACCCGGGAGAGCACAAAACGCTTGCTTGGCAGTCACAAAACCAATGAAGCAAAAATGAGTAAACTAATAGACAAAATCTACATAAGTTAGCGTGAACGAAAGTTAGTACGACACAATGAAAATGTATGTTAAAAACAAATGAGTTACCTACCTGTGTAATGTGTACAATAAAAATAAAATAAAAACTAATAACATACGGTATAATATACCTGACATTCTCATCCTCTTCGCGTTATTGGCTCCGTGATCGTGACTGTTTGCTTGCACTTGATTCTGTTGAGTCTGCAATGTTGGTAAAAACAGAACTTAAACATATATAATTATCGATAGATAAACTTTTGAAGTTGGCAAATTAATAAGGAATTCCTGTTCTTTACAGTGCTTTACGCTCTTAAGGCGTTTTTCTTCGACAATTTGTCTCCATAAAGTAAATGAACAATTTGGCGATTAACACGGAGTTCACTTCTACAAACGAACGCATTTCTTTCTAACTTCTCTTTTTGTAAGGCACTGCAGATGCGTTGCTGATTGCTAACCATTAGGTGATTGGGCTCGCATGTTCTGTATTTACTTATATCCTTTTTTGAGAGGAATTCATTAAATGGCTTCCCCACCCTGGGTGGGGCGAGAGGGAGTGTCAGACATTACTTAGCTTATTACATTACTGAGCTTGCCTCGGAACCTAGGATATATATTTTCCTGTTATTTTCTTTAGTGTCGGGACGGTAAACGAACGGGCACTTTACCTAATGGTAAGCAATCTACGCCGCCCATACACACCCGCAACACCAGAGGAGTTACAAGTGCGTTTCCGGCCTTTTGAGGATTATGAATTCGGAGATTTAGGGATTAGGGAAAGATTGAGGAAGGAGATTGGGGCTAAGGCAATCTCAAAACCACACGCCAAATCAGCGCTGTGGTTGTCTCATACCGGGTTTCTACGAGGCCGTGGTATCACTCCGTTCTAGCCGACCCATTCGTGCCGAAGCATGGCTCTCCAACACTACCCTATATTCCCAAATTTCAGGGGCTTGAAAATAATGTTATATGTACACAACTTACATTTGGTTGTTGCTGCTGCTGATTCTGCCGAGCTTTTGAATCACTCTTGTCTTCTTGATCGTCATCGGTCAAGAATTCTCTCTTCGGGTAAGGAATGGCACATCCCGCGAATACGTCCTTAGAATTTTAAAAACACATTTAAGTATTAAATATTACACATAATATCACGGGGGGATTATACCTAATTATTTTAATCTTAGAGTGAGTAATGTCATCAAGCGTCTTTCTCGCCCAAGATGGGGCGATGTGTCACACTCTTACTGACTAAAAATCCCGTTTCTTTTCCTGCTTAGGCCGAGTCCACTATACATTTTCCCAACATTTATTTTTTCATCTTAAAAATTCTATCTCGCAAACTATTTAATTTGGAAAAAAAATCAAAAAACAAATATACACAAAAATTGTGTCACTTCTAAGTATGGGACCACCCATTTTTTCTCTATTTGTGTATGAAAATTTTAATGCGTTTCAGAGCATACATTCACTTCCGAAATTTCAACAGTAAAGTTCCTATGGTTTTTAATAAAAGTGGACAGACAGCTAGTTAAACAGACAGGATGATATAACTGTTTCGTTTTCCATTATCCTCCTATATCCTGTTCCGTTTATCTACGAAATCCTAAAAAGTGTACCTTTTGATCAGGAACCTTCTGTTGCCCGGTCTATATCAAATATGTAACCAGTAACCCACTGTAGTTTTTTAAGCAGCTTCTAAGTACAACGCCCAAACCAAGAGAAAAAAATGGCGACAAATATTACTATACATACCTATGACTAATAAGTATGCTTCAAAAATATTTGTATATGTTTAGGAACAGCGTTCCGGAAGACCACCTTGTTCATCAAGACTATTTAGCAGTCCTATCCTAAACGAACAATAACCTCTTGTCCGAAACCATTCTATCTCGACTCCACACTGTATTACGCAACAATTCCATGCATGGTATTACATCATTAATTTCTAAAAACATAGTCGCATTAAAACAATGCATTGAATGAAATGAAACTATGTATTAACTTCCTAACGACAACTGTGTGTAATAAGCATGAGAGACTTTAAAAACAAACTCTTTTCGTAGAACTTCATAAATCGCGGGATTAAACAATGGAGATTTTTTTATGGATTTAGCGCTGATTTTCCAATAGCCAGACAAATGTTATCTGAGGAATAAAAATGTTCCTGTGACCGTCTTATAGGAACATTCTGACGCGACAGCATCATAATTATTACCCAGGTAACTTTTATCTAACCATTGAAAAATCAGCCCTTGGAGTAATTTAGTGCGTATTAATGGTCAAGTAAACTAAGTGTGTATTCAATATAACTGATACATCAGTTCAAGATATCTGCTTCAAAATTTTGTTGCGAGATTCCACTTTACAAACATACATAATATATTGCAAGCTAAACAAAAGCTTGTCATAAAAATGGTTATGATGGCCATTACATAGGTACTTTACATATAGAAACGAAGTAGATAACTAAATCACTTGTACATCAGGTAATTAGTTAATGAGTTACCATTGTACAATAATGACCACCATATTAAGTTATGGAAATTAGTTGTTCGATAATTAGTTGCACTTTGATAAGGTATCCAGAATTGTGCAAAGTAAGGTAATTAATTAAAAAATATTAGAAATGGACTTATTTAGGAGTCATTAGAAAGAAACCTACATCATTAGCCATTGGGTCTAGAAACTACAAAGCCAAAGCAAAACTTTGGTGTCCATCACATTCAAGTATCGTATTATAGTCATGTAAACATGCCAGTTAAGACTACTCTTTTTTTTCTAAGGGTGCAAAATCATCAATAGCACCTGCCGTCCTAAGTAAGGTCGCCACGGCGCTAGGACCTGGTTAATGGGTAGCCTATCACGTGACTTCAGCCAATTTCGACTCTAATGGGTCCTATAGAGGTCCGACAGCTTTTGTCATGTGTTCAGAAGTTAGAGTACGCCTTAGGTGGAAAATTTTCAAAACGCCTCTAAGTAAGTATTAGCTTTTCACCGTCAGCTTTGCCTAAACGGTCAAATCTATAAGCATTTATACACATAAACCATTACTCAGAAATCACACTTAAAAAGAAACTTAAAAATCTCTCTAAATTAACCAACCAATCAGGGGCAAAAACAACTTTAAAGTTAACTTTCTACTGAGTTATCGCAAAAGAAATTTGTACTAGACAACGTTATCAAGTCCACGCAGACAAAAGCAAAAGATATTTTTGTATCTTTATGAATACCCCAGGAGAGTCCTCTGCTGGACTACGGCCCTACCCTACAAAGGGAGTCACAGGTGCGTTGCCGGCCTTTTAAGGAGTACACTCATTTCTTGTAGGTCTGAAGGTCGTATCGGTTAGGGAATACCGCCGCCGGAAGATCATTCCAAAGTTTTGCTGTGCGGGGCAGAAAGCTACGCGTGAATCACACAGTTGCTGACTGCCAACCATCTATGTGAGGGGGATGAAAATGTTTTCGCGTGGAACGATGGTGAAAAGATGCGGCGGGCATCAAACTGAACAATTCCTCATAACACTCCCCAAAAATAAAGAATTTTTTAACAGTATGTAAGGTTTCTTACCTGTGTGGGCAAGGGGTCTTCGGCAAAGTATGGGTCTTGCATAGCCTGCTCTGATGTTATTCTCCTGTTAGGATCCATGAGCAAAAGTCTTTGCAGTAAACTAAAAGCCTTGCTGTCTGGTTTTATTTTATGCCTGTCCATGTATTTACTTAATGAACAGTTTTGATAACTGAAATTAATACAATGAACAATAATTTTAACCTCAAACACTTGGAATATATTCTTTAGTAAAGACAGAACTAACAAAATGTTTTTGAGTGTGTGAGAACAAGGAGTAACAAAACTGCTGGTAAGCAGAACAGACCATAGGAAAAAGCAAAGGCCAGCGCTATGTAACATACTAGCTACTCTCGCGCAGTTTTATCCGCTGCTAGGCTCCATTTGATCATAGCGTAATGTTTTATATTATAGCATATAGCACTCAGGATTTTTTGCAATCCGACCAGCGGTTCCATAGATTACCCCCTAGATACAAACTTACAAATTTTACCTCTTTATAATATTAGTATAGACAACAAAAATGAACTTACTTAGATCTTTTAAAATCTTTAACTAGAGTGGCATGTTCAGGCATTTTCCTAATATCTTCCCAGTCTTTTTCCTGTGGGAATCCCATTACATTAAATATTCTGTCCAGTTGATCATGGTGGTAAGGATTGCTGGTTTTGATATCTTCTTGTCGACAATGGAATATAGGCTCGGATGTAAGCAACTCCGCGAATATACACCCAATAGCCCATATGTCTGGAATTCAGAAAAATTAAATATTACAACAAGCTTGTCTCTATAACCTGAGTATTTCATAACATCAATTTATTTAAAAGTATGATGCTATGATCACAAGCAATCCAGTAAAGTTGTAATAATTGTCATATTATTTAAAATTCTTATTAATGGCATCAGAGAGTCAAGATCTGGACAGTATGCCAGTCACCATAACACATCTGTCTTTTTTTAACAGTATTTGGTTGTTATATATATATCATATTAAAAAATCATAGTACTTTTTGTACTTTGTAGTTAACACACAACTTGCCATACTCAGCCATCTTGCCATACATAATGATTAATTGGCCAGTTGAGTAATTATTATATGACAGAGGAAATATTTACAGGACAAATTTGTTACAAAGAAATAGTTGTGGCAAATTTTGTCTCTAAGGGGTCTTTTTCATTGGCTAGATAAAAGTTATCTGGGGAATTATTATGATGCTTTCGCATTAGAATCTTTGTACAAGACAGCTCAAAACAAAATAGGGCAAATAGTAATTAATTAATTTTATCTTTGACCTAAATAGTGTGGTAGTACTTACTACCACATTAGACACTGATTGAATAATAATTATTACTACAATCAGAACTTTATTGTTCTTTTATGACATAATGAGGCTAGCGTGGTTGAATTGCGACCAAAAGCCTTTAAATTTATAGTAGATAATAAAAAAATAAAAAAAGACTTAACCAGTCAACTATCAAATGTTTGTTTGTATTTAATAGAAGTAAAAAGAATAAAAAAACAAAAAATATGACAATTCATGAGCTGTTATAAATTCAAGTTTTAACAGTTATTTTATTAACTACTAGCTTCCGCCCCTGGATTCTCACATGTATAAAAGTAATGTATACCGGGATGTATTCATATAATTTAGTAATTTAAGCCTATAGCAATCAGGAACATTGTAGCTATACATCAGTCAAAGAATTTTGGAAATTCAACCAGCATGATCAAAGATTACTGCCTACATACAAATTTCAAAAATTTACCTCTTTATAATATTATTTATTAATTACTACAACTGAATCTAAATAGTAGGTACATACCAATTGCTTTAGTATAATGTCTAGCCCCAAGCAATAATTCAGGAGCTCTGTACCAGAATGTGACCACCACAGGATCTAGGTCAGCTAAAGGCTTTAATGGAGCATTGAACAGTCTAGCAAAACCCATATCTGCAATTTTAACCCGGCCTCTCTCCGGACCTTCACCCATTACCAGAATGTTAGCTGGTTTCTGAAAAGTATAGAAAATAAAATTAAAATGAGTATGAGAATGCTATGTTAAGTGTAGCTAAGCTAATTACTCTTCAATCAGCAATTTTATCACTTTTAACAGTAGACGATAGTATTTACTATACTATTATAAAACATTCTGTAATAACAGGAATAATGGACAAGACTAGATAGATGATTGACTGCACAAGTGTACTTACCAAATCTCTATGCAATACCCAATTGGAATGCAAATAGTGTATGCCATCCAATATCTGATAGAGAAGACTCTTCACCATCCCTTTTGGCACCATTACAGACTTCTTGTTAGCTTTTGCTGCTCTATGGAACTTGATTATATGCCATAAATCATGTTCGGCGTAATCAAATAGCAGCCACACCTTTCTATCAGTATGCGAAAGGAAAACTCGAATGAGGTTGATTACATTTGGATGCTTCAATTCTCGGAGTAACTAAAAATACCATACATCAATCACATATTCTTATATTTATATTTAAAGGAATTGTTACAGTTTATAATGTATAAGACTTACCGCAATTTCTCTGCAAGCTGACATAGATAGCCCAGTCCCTTCGATTTGCTTCAGAGCATAATCCTTTGTATCTGAGCCGTCTTTCCGTCTAGCCTTATAAACGTGACCATACGTTCCACGGCCGACTTTACAACCCTCGAAGTCAAAAAGATCCTCAACTTTAGATCGTTCGTTCTGAGTTTTCACCTTAAAATCGTAATCCATCATGACCGGTGCCATGGTCTTATTTTGGAAGTTGTCACCCATTTTTATTTTATTTCAAGTGGCCCGTCAATAAGCACCAAATTTTATAAACTATAACATTTTACACAGCAGCGACGAAAAAAACTAATATATTAGTAATTTATAATGTACCCGAAACGAACTACTTTGTGGTATTTTTTGATGCATACAAGATGCTGCTGAGTGCTGAGCTTCTTGCTTGCTTGTGACAACAACTGACAGTGACATAAACAAAAATGTCACAATTTCAATGACCGATTGTCATTTTTCAAACGTCTATGGTTTTCACACAGACAATTATATTTTCCGTACCTATACCCGATTAAAAAAAAGAGGGGGTTCCCAAGTTGACACACAGATCAATAATTATTAATTAATTATTTTGTAGACTATTATCTGATTAATAATAAAGGTTTCAGGTAATCTTTATTTTAATTCATCAAATCCCAAGCGAACACCGTCTCTCTTACTAGGTAAATGTCTTACTATGGTGTCTTCAGTAACCACGATGGAAAGGTTAAAGGTTAAACATTGTCTCGTCACGAAGGGTATTCTTCTGTACCGAGGTCTAGGATAGGGATAAATAGGTCATAATAATATCTTCGAAACTTGCCAAGTACGAATGTGACTTTCCGAGTTATCTGTACTTTTTATGATTATTTAGACACAGGGACTAGATATATTTTTTTTATAAATTTCAAATCGTCCGCCTTGAACGAGCGTGCCGTTTATTAACTAAACTAATAGGCTGATGATGAGATTATAGAGATCATAGGCTAGCTAGTGTAACCAAAGTTGACTGATGGACTGATCAGTCAATCACTTTCGGTTTAGCAATGATAAATTTGTAATCACTTCACCATGAAGCAAACAATTTTGCTTATTGGATTCCACCAATATTACAATATGATGTCTTGCGGGTTTGCACTCAATTCTCTATACTCGGAATTTTAATTCCATTCCAGATTTGACAAATTCAGTGTTGCAACGTTATGACACGTAATAAACTAAAGCGTCACTGTTTATTACGTATTAAATAGCGTCACTATTTATTTGCAAAATTATTCGATGTGGAAATCGAATATTTATGAGTCGATTGATTTCGTTTATAAATTTACTCTCGTAAACTAAGTTTATCAGGAAATAAAATATTCCGAACCGATAATTTAATTTTGACAATTAATTATAATATCTGAGACTTTTGTTTTGTATTGTGTGTGAAATTAATAAAAAATGTGATCATGAAGGAACATGACAAATAAAACAGAAATTTTATAAATTGTCGCCGTAATCGCTATCGCTATCGCTGTTACTTTCTGTAACATTTATTATGAATCGTCTGTGATTTTTATTGTAAATTAACATATCTAGCTTACTCATTTTTTCCTCTTCTTTGACAACATGGGATATGCATTTAGACCATTCGGTAGCCGTAATTTTTTGAATGCCTTCCTAAAACTGATTCACTGATTGTTTATCGATTTTTGTGTTCATCACTACACTGTTATATGTGGTGTCATTATTTCACGAAATGACAGTAGGTCATGTCAAATCAGGAATCGAATAAAAATTCTGACTATAGTTCAAACATAAACATAGAGAAGATGAAAGTTATACCTAGGTGGCAGGGTAAGCGCAATGAGGTACCGCAACTTCGGCCCAGAGCAGGAGAAGGAACAGGGGGGTTTTTAGTCAGTAAGAGTCTGACACTCCCTCCCGCCTGGCCCTGGGTGGGAGAAGTCATTTGATGATTTTCCCCTCACAAAAAAAAATACCTACCGTACTCCCATGTTCCGCCCAGCCTGTTACTAACAGTACGAGACATAATCATTAGAACATAGTACTTATTTTGTATACCAACTCTTTGCACACGCAACAAATACATGTGTTATATATCGTAATCGACGCACAGATTCAGAAACTACCATTTGTATAACTAAAAAAATGGATTGAAAAATTTCATTTTTAAAGTTTTTGTTGCACTATAGCAATATAATTATATCCATTTTATTTTTAGTCAGTACCTGATGTAGGTACCTGTTTTTTTTAAGTGGTCGGGATATCAAAACAAACAACACGTGATATTAGGTACACCAAACAAAATAATGATTAAACATTGTCTTTTATTTCGTTCAACACGGATATTGAACACTGGTTCTAAATTTTTTCTGTTTCGAGTAGTTAACAATGGATCAGCACCATGTCGTATTACATTTTTTTATAGTAGGTAAAATTTAAAAATGTAGTTGTTGTAGTTGTTAAAAAAACAGTCATGAATACCTAGGTACCAAAAAAAATTTACTTTTAACCATTTTTAAATAGGTAGTCGATGATTGAACGTCTAAGACTGGACTGGGTGTTGACTATTGTCGCAAACTTAACGAAATATTAATTTTAACTTCTATTCGTTATTAATTAATATTATAGGTAGATACTTATCTATTTAGTAGATTTCGTATCTCCAGGTATTGTTATGCCGCATTAAATGTTACTTCTCATTTAGAGTTTTTGTATCTTATTATAGAAATTATCGTAATAACTTCGTAAATATGTACCTAAATCATAGGTGCCTTTCGCTTTTGTCACTACGGCCCTCATGTTGAATTTCAAACTTGTCAAAGTTGTGGAATGTGCCATGCTCACTGATTCTTTGCTAGATCTTACCAAGGAAAGGAAAATATAGACATGAGGCTCCAATTTTTAAAATGATCGGATTTGTCCGTTGGTTGGGACAAAAATTGTTATAAGTAGGTACAGTCAGTCCAATGAGCTTAATGCTATTTGTAATTGTGACTCAATTTTAAGTTAATAGTATCGTATTACTTAACAATAAGCCATTATTTAAGAGCATCCTATTAGTAAGTAATCGCTTAAATCCTTGAACTAATTCCAAAAATGACACTTCATTTACTACTTAGAAAAGAAAGTTATTAATTTATGACAATACCTACGAACTTGCTTAAAAACAATGAAGTCACGTTAATTTAACACTTCAAAGTTACCTACTATCTATACTATATTATTATCGTAAGCCTATTTAAGTACTGAAAAAAGTACTAAAATAAGTACTAAGTACTGAAATGTCTCTTTTCACACGGAGAAGGCTTTTTTTAAAAAAAAAAAAAAAAACGTTGCCCCACACACCCACACTAGGATTTTCACGGTTTGAGCAGTAATCACCACGCTTGCTCAAGGCGGGCTGGTGATTTCAAACTTACCTATATCTAATTAGAAATTATGAGTCCAGGATTCCCCCACGATGTTTACCTCCACCGCACGTGAGTGCTGTAATTACTCATACAAAGTTACAGTGTACCTAATTGCCATGTTTCGTAACCTCATGGATGAGAAGCGGGCGCCTCAACGCCGTGGCGAGACGCCCGCTTCTTTTTGGACATTTGGCCATCACGACGACTGTAATGTTAAAATTCGTGATCGGTAATTCCCGTCACCTAACTTCAAGATGTCCTACGGACTGTCAAACATTATTATTATTATTCGCAGAGTTTTTAGTCAACTATTATCTGAATGAAATGGAACGTAAGTTTTTGATTTTAACCTTCCAATCGTGGTAATTTGAGACACAATAGAAGAACAATAGGGTAGGGTAGGTAACAAACGCCGGTGTTCGTTTGTGGTTTGATGAATTGAAATTTAATGCACTCCGGGCAATTACCCGTCAACGTAGAATTGTTGCAGATAAAAGACAAAAGAAATAGGGGTATGGATATGATGGATCGTTATGGACCGGGCCTATATGCCGAAACAATGTACCTAGGTACTTAATTGTTATTCGTAAAACGCCACATGGAGAGTCCTAAACTCACCGAACGGGCCCCCGAGACTGGATGTTAGGAATAACAACTGTGGGACGATGGAAATGTGCGCGGCTGAAGAATGAAGCAGGTTCCACCAGCTGTTTACTCAGATCTTTTTCATCTGCCTTGGTATCCTGCTTGTTTTTTGACGAGGGGAAGATCATCAAATGACTTCTCCCGCCCAGGGTCGGACGCCAGGGTTTTTAGTGCTAGACTCTGGCTGACTAAAAACCCCCGTTCCTTCTCTTGCTCTGGGCCGACGCCGCGGCGGCTCATTGCGCTTGCCCCGCAACCCTAGCTATGCATCCTGCCTCAATGGTCCAAATGCCGCCTAAATAATCAATTAATTAATTTAAAAAAAAGCTAATTTACAGCGCCTAATTTATTTATCGCACAAAATAATCATTTTAATAAGTACCCTTTCTATAAATGGAATCACAGTATGCAGAAATACGTTAAATATAAAAAAAGATTTTACAGGAATTTAATATACATACTTAGGTTTATCTGAGATTTTAAGAAATTCTACTATATTATTAGTTAGCTACTGTATAGACCGCGGTTTCACCCGCTGCTCAGCTCCTACATAATATATCATACCGAGATTTTTTATAGCCTTCCTCGATAAATTTACTTAAAAACACAAAACGAACTGGGTAAGCGCAATGAGGCACCGCGACCTCGGCCCACAGCAGGAGAAGGAACGGGGGGGTTTTTAGTCAGTAAGAGTCTGACACTCTCTCAGGTCACCAAGATACAGGTATAGCATAATTTGGGGACCACAAATATTATAATAATGTACCAGCACTCATAGTTACAAAAGTTTATAATGTAAGTTACTTCAATAAGGACTTAATGCACTGCCCGAACCAGTAATTCGAAGATTTGCGCGTTCAAATAAAAAAAAACAAACTCTACAGCTTTATAATATTATTATAGATTTTAGTATGTCAACAATGAATAATAATGATCACTATATTTAAACATAATCATCGAATCTACCGGATTATTGTGGCAACACCTTTATTGAAATAAAAAAACGATACTTCTATGAATTTTATTTGAAATCACAACTTACAACGACATGATGATTTTACCTCAAACAGCAGCTAACTTATATCTAAAACATATCTAGAAAGAATATCTATGCTAATATGTAAGTTTGTATGTAGGGGGCTATCTTTGGAACCGCTGCTCAGATTGCCAAAATTCTTTCACCGATAAATAGCTACAATGTTTCTCAGTGCTATAGGCTATAAAACATCACGCTACGATCAAATAAACCGCGCGAGAGTAGCTAGTACCCAACTAATAATATCGTCAAATCAATGAATGAAAATAAGATTGTATTGAAAAGTCGAAATAATTTATTTTTAAGCTGAAACTTTCCAATTAAGATGTTTAATGTGCAACTCATTAAATTTTTTGTAAATATTATAAATACCACGTGCACCGTGCATGCCACACGCGTTAATATTATTGTAGTTAACAATAATTTAATAAACATACAAAAGATGATAATATATGAAATAATAAGTTTATGCATCAATCTTTTCTCTAATCTATGTTAGGTATTTACTGCGATCTATAAGACTTTGATAGGGCTTTGTGAATCCAAAAGAAATGCCTTCACCTGATTGGAGATTAAAAATACTCCATGGTATTAAAACTACATCAAAGTGCATACAAATGTTGGGAGTAGCACGTAAATAAACATTTCTCCGATTTTGGCGAACAGAATATGGCATGAAGCAAATATATCTAATCAATACAATTACCTATTTGATTGTGTAAAAGCCTGTGTTCTGAATTCCTACTTTATAGCCCCAACATTAGAAGAATATTCTACGCGATAGGTATACACTTACTAATTTATAGCCTACAATTCTATTTTAGTTGGGACTGTAATATATCAGACTCGTATTCTATCGTGATTAAGTAATAAAAATGCATTAACATTCATATTATAATTCATAATAATAATTGCAGATGATTACTAATTAATACATATTTGCGTCCTAAGTATTTGTAATTTTTTAATCGAATTTGGCAACACCGAGTGATTTGGGTAATGAGTGAGTGGCGGGGGTATACAGGCAGGCGGGCGGGCTGGAAACGTCAGTCGTCATTGAGTCGTCTGTCAGACAAACGTCCTGTGTTGATTTTGTTGAAGTGAAGTTATTTTGTTTCCTTTATTATTTCTACTCGTCGCGGGAAAGAGATAAGTTGTATTAATCAAAGTGATTGTTTTATCTTATTTTCTTATATTTGTGTTTGATAAAGCGGCGTAATCATGGATTCCCGCAATAACGAAGAAAATAACTTTTCTGATGTTATCGATAATTTGATGAATATGTTTGGCAAAGTAATGAGTGAAGACGTGATTTCTGCCGTTGTTGAAAGCTGCGAAGGTGACTGTGAGTATGAAAACTTTAATCAATAGTTTGTACTTGGGTCCAGTAGGTAGCTGTTTGATTACAGTGAAGTGCAACCGCGTACCTTCATTGTGACTTTCGATTGGCTGCGCGGCGCAGTAAATTATTAAAGCACTCTGAACGTAGTTCCAATGTTATCGTATCGGTCAATAAACGTTACCTATATTTCTTGTATGTAGAGATAGGACACTATTATGCGAAACAAGGATGACTGTTTAAATACGACATTTCGTCGACATAAGTAGGAGAGAGTTTGGTCCACACTCTACAGTACATTATTATGGTTTAATCAATCTCAGGACACCTAATGATAAGGACTTATGTCAGAATGGTAAATTTGGTAGCTATATATTTTTATTTAATTCATAAATATTCAAGTACAAGTTTTGTGTAGTTACACTTTAGCATTAGATTGTTTTTGTTTTGATAATGTTTGTGTTGTTGTTGTGTGAAAAATTTTGCATTTTGCAACAAGTTTAAGGTCTTATTAAAAGTGACTATTGATATGATCATCATAATGACTGGTTTTTTAAGGATATTCTTTATTGATTCAATTAGATTATGTAACATTCATTGCAGTTGTTATTTAGGGTATGAGGAGGGGGTCATGGGCTGTTGAAGGACAGCGTCCCTCACTTACCGTGTTCTCCATCTTTCCCCTCACTTGGTTTGTTGTATAGCTGTAGCTATATTTGTATAATTGGACTGCATCAATACCCATACATAAAAGATGAGTCTGTAGGGTTGCTTTGTTTGATTCAAAGGGGTACTTTATTTGGGCTAAGTAATAGGGACCATCACTACTTTGTAGTTTGTTTTTACAGTACTGTTTTTAAATTTAAATACCAACCAATGACCGATAGTTTGGTGTAGGATAAATGTTTATAATGTAGATTTTAATAGCTTTTTAAACAGTGGGATTTTTTTACATCTAAAACTCTTACTTTTTACAATTTATTTAGAAGTTAATGCACTATATTGTTTTAAGAAGATAATGATTAGCTTTTAGTATTTATTGCCTAGGAAGTAAATGCTAAATCTGAGAATCTGTTATTTAATCATAATCATCCTAAACATGTCTATCATAGCTTTTGTTTCCTTATTTGCTGCTGCTGCTGCTGCTGCTAGATATTATTTTCAAGTTCTATTCTCTGATAAAGCAAAATGATAGTATTGCGAATTGAAATTGTGACTATTTTGCTTTGATATTGATTTTAAAGGATGTTCTGCACTATAAATTGAATTAGTTGACAGGCCATCCAGAATGGACTGTCCTCAATACTTTTCTTTGTTAAATTATTTAGACTGTGTGGACATAAAGAAACAGACTTGAGACATTGAATTATTTTAAAACATTGGAATATTAAACAGTATTATTTTTAGCCTTAAAAGTAACAAAATGAAAATTAGGTACATCTCTGCTCTGAAGGATAATATTTTTTTCTACCTCAAAATCAAACTCAAATGCTTTATTTAGGTAATGTAATATACAGGGGTCTTGAATAAAATAATAGGCACTACTTAACAACCGTTTTCAGTTGTTGCAAATTTGAGATTTATTTACAAATTAAATTACATCTCTACTGAGTTCCACAATGAATTATAGTAATAATTGAACTGAAAACTTTTTAGAATATTTAAAAAAATATCCATGTATGTGTCATTGCAAATTACATTTTTGATGATTGCTACTGATTTGTTATTAAGATTATGATAGAATTGCTCACATAAATTTAGATGTAGAGATATAATAGAGAAATGTGTTGTGGATCAATAAATGTTGATCGTTGGACTGAATAGGTATGTCTCCTGGGTTAAAACAACAAGATTCTTATTAGTCTGTAAGTTAGATTATAGAATAATACTCGATACGTATTTTTTTATTTGTCCATACGAATAATATTGACAAAGATACAGCATATTCAAATTCAGGAGCAGGGGCTCGTGACGTCACTCTTTCGTAAAAAATTTCGAAATAATGACGTAGCGCGAGCTTTCGCTGCGCTGTAACTTTGTTATTTTAAATTTTAGAAGCAAAGGAAAAAATACGTATCTACTATTTTCTGGTTCTAAAAGATGGACTAATTATTATTTTTTAGTCATCATCCCTATTCTCCCTAAAGTATAATTAATTTAATTGTGTATGATGTTCGCGAGTATCTTTTTCTATATTTATCTTTTATATATTAAGTTTTTTTAAGTTTCAAAGAACAATTCAAAAGAAAGAACTGCAATTTTTTACTGTAACAAACTGCTACTTCTGGACTTGAAAGATTTTAGTACAAGCAATTTACCTAATTTCATTAATTTAAATGGTAATTTAACAATTTTTATTTTTTTTATCTCTTAGTGAACCTTTCTGTGGATGCGATCATGAATATGACAAACGACGGCAACGTAATATCAGAAGAGGAACAGCAAGCACATCCAGCATTGGTTCAACCAGTAACTCAAACAATAACAACTCCAAAAGTAACCCAACCAACCCAGCCTTCAACTTCGTATGCTACAATTTCTACAGCAAAACCTTCACAAAAAACTGGTGCTATACCAAAAAGTCATCATATTCCAAAACTGCAATCTGACACCATATGGACTGAGCAAATTAAAAATATAATAACAACCAACAATCAGGGTAGCAGGATACTGATCCTTATGAGAGGTGTACCGGGAAGTGGAAAATCATATCTGGCCCGAAAATTAGTAGATATGATGGTTGGTGGTGGTCCTCACAATTATAGGACTCATATCTTGACAACTGATGACTATTTCATGATCAGGGGTCAATATCAATATGACAAGTTTAGATTGTCTGAAGCACATGCTTGGAATCAACAGAGAGCCAGAAGTGCGCTGAGGATGGGATTAAGTCCTGTTATTATTGACAATACCAACATTGAATTATGGGAAATGGAGCCCTATTTAAGGGAGGGAGTTAAGAACGGTTACATCATTGAAGTTGTAGAACCTACAACACCATGGGCAAAAAAAGCCAATATACTCATGAAAAAAAATGTTCATAATGTGCCTTTAGTTTCCATAAAAAGGATGCTTGAGAATTATCGCGAGGGTATAACTGGCGAAATGTTGAAGAATTCATATGGTTTGTCTTATCCTCGTAGTATGGTTCCTCCTGTGCAGCGAAAAGTTCCTTATATTTCCAAAGAGGAAAAATCACCAAAAGATATTAAACCAGATACCACTGCCGCCACCACTGCACCTGCATCAGCTAGTACTACTCAAACAAACCCAAAAAAGCAGTTTTTTAATTCATCAGCATCGTCAGACATTAATACTGAAAATGCGGATCAACAAATGATTGATGTCAACAGAAAACAGCAGGAAACGTCCCAAAGCCAGATTCCGAATAATTCAAATGATCTTGGCACTCCGTGGACGCAACAAATGGTAGACGACCTATTAGCATTTCATGCTCATGAAAAGATGCAACAGGAAACCTCCCGAAAAGAAATTCCGGACACTCCGTGGACACAACAAATGGTAGACGACATGTTAGCATTTCATGCTCATGATAAAAGGCAAGAGGAAACATCCCCAAAAGAGATTCCGAATAATTTAAATGCTCACAATAGTCCGAAGACGCAAGAAAAAGTTAACGACATATTTGATGCTCATGAAAAAAAGTTAGAGGAATTTGTAAAAGTCGAAATAGAATGGGAAAATGGTGATAATTGGGAAGTTGAAGAGCAAGCTTCAAAAGAAATCGGGAATAGCAAAACCTCAGCTCAGTCTACCGTATCAACACCAGAAGCAAAACCTCAAAGAAAACCTCGTACTTCTTCAGATATCTTTCGGGAGTCTACGCAAACACTTATGCAAAACGTTGGCGACTGTCATGATTGGAGTAAAATATCAATGTTTATGCCATCTTGGGATGATACACCTACACTACCAAATGTTACTGTAGCGAATGAAGTATCAGTGGAAACCACATCTTCAGGAACCTGTATGGAAATTGGGGATACAAATGTCAACGGAAAATACAAAGTTATCACTGCATCTCCACGTAATATCAATCTACATCATATTTCATTCCAACGTGAAAAGATCCCACAAAAGAGAATGCTTGATAAAAGCAGCATGACTAACGAAGTAATGCTATTTTCCGAAAATGATTTTGTTTGTCCAAATCAAGAACAGCATTTTATCTCGTTTAGAAAGATGTTCAAAAACATTGCTCGCTCAGATTTACGTGATATTTTCGATAAATGTCGCGGTGACGTAAATTGGAGTGTTGAGATTGTGCTGGATGGAATGAGTAATAATCAATTAAAAACGTTGGACACTGAAGAATTATCAGACCCTGAAGAAGACAACCTGGAACAGTGTTCATGCCTAGCTCAGTATAATATTATACCAGATATAGCTACACCTAGTGTATCTGAGACTCCTACCCCAAAAAAGGAAAAAGTCTCCGTGGCAAATAAGCCCCAGTCACAAAAGAAAAAGCGTGACGTGCCAATGTCTGAAGAAACAATTCAAATTAAGCGCCAAATTGAGCAGAATGTTGTAATAGCCGATAATCACTATTCGAAGCATTGCCTCAAGATACGGAAGATACGTCGTGGAGAACCAGATGTAGAAGACAACGATGGCGAAGAACTTGGGGCTGCTGCACTCTCACAAGCTACGTCGTCTGACTGTTCTGTCCCCGTGGATATGGAAGTTAGTGATGACGAAAACGACTCTTCGGGTTCTAGCGTAAGCGGTGTTGACGATGATCTCATAGTCACTTTTAATTTGGGACACTCCTTCATAGCAGAGTTAGATGAAAAACTAGGCAGGAAAGGGATTGAATATCCATCGTACATTGTGCCCAAGATTAGCGTTCCCATGTCTTTGTTGAACGAATTCAATGCCTTATGGATGGAATCCTTGACCTTTCAGTTAGATGAACATGCAAACCAGGCTGCAGCTATGATGCAACAAGACGAAGATTTTGCAAGGTACAAACCTAACGGTTTTTTTACTTTCTTAAATACACTAATATTTAGATATTGTTATTGTATATCATAAAAAGTTTATATGTGGAAATGTTAATATTTATTATTATTTGGCTGCCTTGTTGGTCGAGTGGTCGTAAGGGCGACTGTCTTGCAACGGATTTCGGGTTCAATTCCCGGGTCGGGCAAAGGGCATCATGTGCTTTTTTTTCTAACCATTTGAGAATAAAAGGTGTCACAATAAAAATATTTGCTTCACTTGTTAATGCTATTCCTAACCTACTCCTTAGTGCTTTATAATGGAGAAAGTATACCTTGACTAGTTTTTGACCTACACTGAACTTTACTAGCTCTTATTTAATTTTAAATTGATTTTAGGGAACTAGAATTGAAAGAAGCAGAGATGTCTCTTGCTGGCAAAGAGCCTGAAGTCCCCGACTTCAAGGAAATAATGGACATGGACATGGCACTTGCCATCTATCAGAAAGATGTGGCTGAATGGCGTAACAACATGCCCACAGATTTGGCAGCTAAGATGACTAGGGACAAACTCTTCAATCTGTTCCCAGAAGTTAGCCAAGACACCCTAACGGAACTGCTAATGGCTCACGATAACAATTTCAACGCTACTGTCGAGGTAATAAGATATATATTACAATATTTATTTTATGATGACATGTTGGTAAACAAGAATGCAGATCACCTCATGCTAAGCGATCGTTAAGCATGAATAAGGAACATCAAAGAAGTAACGAATGCTTTACCATTGGGCTACTGGTAATCTCACTCAAACACACAGGAAACGTTTTTTTCACGCCAGTGTTCAGTGAAGACTTGGTACAACTAGGGAACAATATGTTTAAGGAACCTCTATTATTTTAATTCTTCTAAAGTATCCTGTGTATGTTGACAGGTATTACTCACGTCTACTGGTCGCAGTGATGTTTTGGAGCAAGAGAATGGCGTCAATAAGTTCGTAATGGCTGAAGAAATGAAGCTCAAGGACAAAATTTTGGAAGAACAAAAGAAGGTAATAGAAATATGAAATAATATATTGGAGTAAACAACTTTATCTTTGCTTAGCATTGTTGAGTCAAAGTGTTATTATTTAATTATATTCGTCTCTATTATAACGAGGTTTTGTTAACCAGACTCTAAGTTGATTGGAATAGGGTTCAATTTTAAATATTTTAGGCTACAATTATTTTCTGGTACACGCTGTGATATGCACTTGTGTGTGTAAAGTTGGTGAGTTGATGTTTAATAATCAATTTTTTTTATATTTTTCATCAATAGGTAATTTTTATTAGGTTTTCGACTTTAATTAAAACCAATAAAGTTGAAAGTTGGATAACCGCAAATGCTGCTAAATGTAGTCGAATTTCTCTAGTTAAGATATAACCCCAACTTGAATACTGAGCGAATCTTGTCAAGCAAAAGCATAATTTAATAATTACCAAATATAACCTAAGATTTGTGACATAATTTTGAGATACTAAAATGAAAACTTATTTTAGGAGCTCTCTGAGACCGAATGGCCTCTTCTGGGTAAAGGCGAAAAGGTCGACATGGCTACGGTGGAAGCTTATCGTGAAGAAGCGGACAACCATCTCGCTCGGCGCAATCTGTAAGTATATTATGACTTAAATACCTTCTGATTTATTTCGTCGCGGGATCCGAGACAGTCATTCATGTCCCTGGGACGCGCCGAACTTCAGTGTTCCGATGTTTTCATGGTTTTATCTACTGTAGATCCTAGCTTATAGGCTTTGCAGCGGTTTTGGGAAGTTGCGGGGGGTGGTACCAATTCAAAAAAAATATTATGACTTAGTCAATGTCTTGTACATTTACATCAATTCTTAAATTACAAAAGGCTAGTGTTTTGCTGTGTCAAGGTCAGGTCAGATGACCGACTACTCATTTAACTCACAACAAAAAACCTACTAATTTATAACACGGAAGAACTAATAAAAAATTCTAGTAATTTTTATTCACAATAAAAATTCGAATCTCGAAAAGTGATTATATACTGAGATTGGGAATCCCCTGAACTTACCCTACACGCCAAGTCGTGCGTAATCTATCCACAGTTCATAGATTTTATTTTTATATAAATATTAATAGACTATATAAGATTTATATAAATATTAATAGAATTTACTAGCAACCCGCACATTGCAATGCTGGTTCTAGATTTCTCCACTAAGTATTTAGTGGATATTATTATACATATAAATATGCCTCTTCAATCACTCTATTAAAAAAACCGCATCAAGATAATAATACATATGGTTTTAAGCATACATAGAAACAGAAAAGCGAGACTTTGTCTTATACTATGTAAATCACATTGACTAAATAGTAGGTAGGTATGTATTTACCATAGGCAATGCATATTATTATACAACGAGCATAAAAATCTGATCAGAACTGTATAATTTTTGCCTACTTTTACATAATGCAACATATATTTATAATGTATTGTATTGTGTTGTGTATTACAATCATAATATAGATATGCAATCTTTATAGAAGTGCAAATTTGAACTTTATTTACTTCTGCAAAAGAAGTTAAAAAAGATCCATATTTTGTGATACAACCTCTATTGTATGTTACAATTTAAATAATATATCCTTTCTGATTTTGTTGTATTCAATAAGGCACTGCATTGTGTTTATTATCAGTAAAAATCTTGTAGATTTTCCAAGATTTTGAATAGCATAATTCGCAATCTGCTTTTGTTATACTAAGATACATAATCTCAGTAGATATACAAAGTTGGTGTAGAATTTACATAAGTGAAGTCAAATCTTGATCATGACAATCAGGAATCATTGTACCAATACACATATCTTTATTCGCTATAGATAGTTACTTTTTACTTGGTATTTAATAGGCTATTATTATATTATTACATAATTGAAAATAAATACTCTTTTTATCTGCAACTGTGTAAATAAACAAAACACATAGTCTGTGCTACATTTGGAAATCAGTTTGTTCTCATTGTTTCTGTGGAATGTTTTATATTTCCTTTTTTTCTTCGATAACACTATTTATTGATATTAATTTGTTGTCTATAAATAGTCGAGTAGTCTCTTAAGTGCGTCCTACTATAACGATTACGAGATAACTGATCATCTGACTGACGGTAAGCAATTATCGCTACCCATTAACAACCCTGCAACTCCAAAAGATTTGGCAGGCGAGCGCCAATGCGTTGCTGGCCGTTTGAAGAATTGAGCCTTCAGTAAGGTTACATATTACGAAACAAAAAGTTTGTATTGTTTCTCGCTAATATTTTAATATTTTGTAAGTGGTGTCATGGTATCAACCCGGTCGACTCGATCCATTCGTGTCAAAGCCTCGCTCTCCCACACTGGATTCTCAGCTCAGACAAAGAATTAATTTGAAAATATGATCTTACAAGTCATAGAACTCGTAACATGATATGATATGCAGAGTAACACGGATACTTTTGTTTTGTTATGAACGAAGCTATGAACAGAAATGTTGTCAGTTACATAATGGTTATTTGCATTTAAATAATTAGTAATATATGAAAATATTTTATTTGCATAGCTCTTCTACGTATGTTTAACACGTGAAAGATATAGATATCATTATATACAAATACAGACTCGTATTATCTCTATATTGTATTTATATATAGGCAAATGTTTTATCAGGTAATCGAGTATTAATTGTTAATTTATGTATGCATTGCAGAAATTACCAGAAGGCTCAGGAATACATTCGTCGCGGTATGACTCAGGTGGCGAATTACTATTCAGAACTTGCTAACTTCCATAAGCAGAAATATGAGTATGCGAACAGCTTGGCTGTGGCTTCTTTGATGCAAGTAAGTAGAATTAAATTTATACTTTTGTTTGATGTTGTACTTCTTTGTATTATTCTTTATTGTGTCATTTTTATTTGCATCGTAACTCGAATTGTTACAGAATGTGACTGTTTTGTAAGAGTGTCGGGTTCGATTCCCGGGTCGGAACAAGGATTTAAAAGTGACCAATAGGTTTGTTTAAGAATGAACCTGGGTGCTATTCCTAGATAGTGTTTTTTTGGGTTTGTGATTGTGTTTTAATCTTACGATTTGTTCTAAATTAAATTGTTTTTTTATTTATTTTGTACATCAAAGTTAAAAGGGTACTGTATGCTCAAAGAGAATTTTGCTTGTTGTTACATATGCAGTGGTGAATTAAGAAATGAAATTGCAAATGATTGCGCTTATCTGTAATATTATAATTACTATAATTAGCCACTGATAAAGTTTACGGCCCACTTATTTCTTGCCGATTATAAATAGATTTTACTTTCAATAATCGTTTAGGCAGTAATTACTTATTACTTAGTTTATAAACAATATTGGAATCAATAGTGGAATCAACTTACTACTGAAAAAAAGGTTACATATGTATGCTCATACAAACCCAGTATTCGTCAGTTGTGTGGTTATGTAACCTTGTTATGCCAACACACACCTCTTAAGACCCTAATTTAAACTCCTGTCTTTTTTTGTATTTATGCATGTATCTAAACGCCCTGATATCTAACTTCTGACACTTAAACAAAAACTGATACCTAAACTAAAAATTCCTAACATAACTCCTAACAGTGAAACTTAATTCTCCTTTAAAACAATTCCAGTTCCACGCAACGAAGAATCCAGATAGCACCACCATAGATCTGCATTACTTGCGCGTGAAAGAAGCTCGAGAGTCTCTCGACATTTTCATCGACACCCATATCTCCAAGCTCAGAGACTCTGGAGTACGTCGCAATCAAATGTTGTTCTTCATAACTGGTCGTGGAAGTCACAGCCAAGGACGTGCTCGCATAAAACCAGCAACGATTGAACGCTTGAAACAACGCGGCCTCGGGTGAGTAGACCTAATCTTAAACTGGTTTTTAGACATTCATATTCTATTTACCTCTGTTTTTTTTTGTATTTATGCATGTATCTAAACGTGATTGACTTGTAACGCCATCTAGTTTGATTTTTTGGGAAACTTTCATGTTTGAATATTTTATTAATTAGTCGTTGTAAACAGTTTTGAAGTCGATCGCTTTATTTTGCATACGCTCCAAACATGTTACCATACTGAGCCTTAGCAAAGCGTTAGAAATCTGCGATTCTATCGCTTATTTCCTTGTATAAACACTAACTAAACGCAATAAGCGTCAGCACTCGGCTTCATCGCTTGCTAAACCAAGCTTTTTTCATTTTCCAGATATACACTTAAGAATCCCGGCCTGCTTGCTGCTAAAGTGAATGTTGATACGAAGTTGACGTACCAAGTCTCAGTTCCCTAGGGAACGTGTAACCAAGACAGTGACACTTTCTTCTTTAAAAGGCCGTGTCATGTCTTGCTTGTATTCGATGGCGCTTTCACATTTTACAATGGCAGAGAATACCCAGTTTTCTTCCCAGTTCTAGCCACATACGGACCCGTCGTCTATTGCTTACGCGCCTGCACTGATTTCAGGTTTGCCAAAGAACTTACAATTTGGCCAAAGTCGGATGATTTAGAATTGATCACGAAATTGTCCCAAATAAGTATCATTTGTGATCCGCCATTTTATTATGTTAATTTTAATGCGTTCAGCGTCTATCGTTACCAGCCGTACATGTATTTTCCTATATTGCCGCCGCCGCCCGCGGTCATAACTGAGATATCTCAGGTCTGGCCTTGCCTCGTTTGAAATGTATTGGTGTAGGGATCTTCTTGGCAACTAAAGAGTTGCCAATAATTTTACCAGTAATGTTTTCCTAGTTTGTAGTTCATGATTTGCTGTCTATATTATGAAAAAACACATTGGTGTTTTCCTAGGTTTAATATTTGTAATCTCAATGCCACGGGATTAGTGTTTATATCGCAACACGCAAAATATGTCAAAGAAATTTGCTTTTAAACGCAACACGGTAAGAGTGCACTGATATTACGAAAACCCACGAATCATATGTAGGATAAGTTGAAAATGTTTGCTCAAAGGGAACGTTTTAATTTATGTTTTAAGTATAACCAAAAAAATTACTATTTTATATACCTAACGAAACAATTAAGTTTCTACCGTTTTTGTGTACAATTTGACCAATTTTGAATACTAAACAAACTAAAGCTTTTGCACAATATAAAGGATAATATTATACTTTTTAGCCAATCATGGGATTGCAATCACATCAAAACTCCATAATATTTCGCTTTTACAAACGATAAAGCATTTGTTTCATTGCACTTTGATATTGAACCTTATTTCAAATCACATCAGCTTACTAAGTGAGCCAGTATAGCCTTCACAGGTCCTGTATTTTATTGCTTGTTTTCGCCATGTGATATTGCCAATACTTTCTTCAAAGTCTAAAAGTACAATTGCGAATTTATTTTAAATATATATGTACAGCTTTATAATACAGCACCTGTGTTGGCGAGCATTAAACCCCATTATTTGAGAATATTAGTTACTATATAAGTTTATTGTCTGTGATCGTTACAGGGTGTAGAAAAAGTGTTTTTTTAAAACCCGCCTCTGTTAATTATACAATCGAAATGTTTACCATATTTTTTGTTTATCTCCTATTAATGGACCGTCCAAATACCCTGTTTACCTTTTGGTATTCCCTCCCAAAGATAAAAAAACTTATATCTATGTAATGACTTAATTAATGTATATTTTGATCTTATAATTCCACTATGAAATGTCTATCTCTTGTTCAATATCCGACTTTATTTACACACCCCTAAGAGTATTTGTTGTCTGTATATTTTTCTGATCTTGTGGACCACTCCAAACGTCATATCATACCTCATTACCTAAGTATTTTCTCGTACAAACCTTTTTTTAAGACAGTACATATTCGTAAGATAGTCAACCTCACCTTAAGCGGTGTACAGACGAGTTTAGTAATCGAATTTCGTATTAAATTCTTACATCATTATCTAAAAATTGTTATTAAAGCTAACATTCTACACATCACTTTATATCGAATTAAATAGTTTTTTAACTTGAATTTACAAAACATTTGGAAAGTTTAGCAAATTTAACTTTAATGTGGTACACGTAAGGATGGTATTTGCATCTTCTAAAACATTTTTACAATGATGTTTGTGCCAAAAATACTCTAGTGAAGGAATCCAAGTGCTATAATTGGTATATTAATTCTAGACAGGAAGTTAATAAAAGTTGAAGATTTGTAACGATGCCTTTTTATATAAAAAAAAGTACCAAGGCTGAAAGTCTATTTTGGGGTAAATATTAAAAATTGTGGCTTTTTGGCCAAATAATTAATTAGTGAAATTGGTACATATTATTTTATTATAACGGACAAACTAAAGTTTTTGAAGGTTTTCTTAAGGTTAAAAATCGTCGAAGTACCGTTTAATACTTTTGGCTGTTGACATTGTGACTCGTTGAAACGAACAAACATTTTACTTAGTGTGTGCATTGTTCATATTTTGATGTCTATGCTTATTAGAATAAGATTCATTTCGTAGGTACATTTAGCCACTTAGTCATAGACAGTCCTTTTATGGAATTTAGATTTAGAACGTAGGTTTTAGAAGTAAGTAATTTCAACGTTTTTTTAGGATTAGGGATCGCTCAGGCTTATTCGTGTCCATACAGTTCATAAAACGATAGATATTACAGATTTTTCTGTTTGGTAACATTAATAGCATCGCAAGTAGGGTTCATGCGAATAAGTCAGGATTGTCCAGTGAAACAAAAGTAGTTGTGTAGTTTGACACTAAGAAAGATGGTGCATTCGGACAGTTTGAGTCTTAAAAACATAGTAATTTTTATACTTCTCGACACGAACCATAACCGCATATTTGATGGTAGGGGATTAATTGGCTCATTGTGTATTTTCTCATTATTTCTCTCTAATGGCAGTAACTAGATTGCCATCTTAAGAAGACACTAATGATACGGAAAGATAAAGAATTTTTTTTTGTATTAGAAGTAAAATTTAAAAATAACAAAAAATACACAATGTCTGATTATAAAATACTCCAGTTATAGTTCGTATATATATCGAACAATTTGTACTGTGAACGCGATGTTTTTTTTTAACTGTCCAGTGTTTCGTCTGTCTCAATAGTATTTTTGGATTCCCACCTCTTGTCGTATGTAACACTTTAGATGTTTTTACTTGTCTTTACAATATACGTAGATACCCTTAGGGTGGATTAGGTATAGATGTGCATAGCGTTCAGTGCGGATTTACGCGGAATTGTTTTATAGGAACAAACAAAAGTGTGAATGGGTTAATAGACTTATTGGTCTTGATAGGATCCTATTTTTCACTTGAGTGAGTTTAAGTCTCGCTACGTAGCTCTATACGTATAAAGGCGAGCAAGTAAAAGAACTTAATGTACATTACAGTTTTGTATGTTTTCTGAACGCAATGCTAAAACACTTAGTGTAGGGACGATGCGTGTTTCAATGTTAGGTTTTAGAGTTTTTCCTTTTATTTGACAATAGTTTAAGTTTAGTTTTCATTAGGATATTTTGTATCAGCTGCTGGTGTTTAAGTTCATAGTGACTTTCTGTACTAGATATGCCAAAGACAGAATAACTTTTGATCCTTTGATAGTAATTTGATGGACACGGTTATAGCCTAGTCAGTCAGAGTTTAATATAAGGTCTTCTACGGGAAATATTTGTGATAAAAGTCATTAGGGTTGGTGCTTCGGAGTCACGTGATAATTATACACGTTTAGGGACGTTTTTTAAACGGGTTTTTCAATGCATGAAAATGCTAGTACTAGGTTTGTGATTTGAAAAATTTTACGACATTCAAAATGTCATCTTTATTATTGATTTTGCTTTCGTGCTATTAAAACGCACTCGCTAGAGTATATTGCTACTTATTTATATAAATTAAGTCTTAAAAAAACAATGTAATGCGAGTTTTTCAAAATTCCATTCAATTATGAATAAATTTATTATTATAAACAACTTATTAGAAACGTACACGCACAATGTTACTTAGAAATACGTATAGCAATATACTCTTGATCATATTTTTTGCTAAACGCTAAAGCTAACTTTAAACGCCTTAAAATAAGGATCGAATCAAAATAGAAAATTTTGAATTGATGCTTGAAAACGCCTAGAGGAATAGGGTGCTAAATATTAAACTTTTTATTTGCTTGATTTTGAATCTAAATTTAAATATATGCTGGGTACATACGTGGTTGTCGTGGTACCTGTTCGTTAGTAGGAATTTTACAGGGACATGTTTCCTTATGTGGAAGACAATAAGGTCCTTTTTAGGTAGGTTTTATACTGAGGATAGGTTTTGCATGAGAGTTAGTATCTATACTAACATAAATATCGTATCGATAGCGCCTGATATTTGAAGACATTTTCTACACTAGTTCGAAACGGTAGATCTCAAGAGGATTCACTAGAATATAAAATTATAAATAGTAGATATTTTGGTTACAGTTTTCCTAGAATGTTATATAATTTTGTTATTTGAAATTTAAAAAATTGAAACTGTTCGGTTATTTTTGTTAGATATTTTAATAATTTTTGATGCCATTTTTGAACATCTATTATATTATAATCTGTGTTAGATTGTAAGTCACTCTGTGTATTTTGATGTGAAATGTCTGTCAATTAAAAGACAAATAAATGTATGTGTCGAAATTCGTGTTTTATTTTGCTTTTCCAGCTGTATAGAAATATGCTTTGCTTACATATCAATCAACATATCTTTATTTATCTTTTTATTGATGAACCAGACTTTGGATCTTTTTAAATATTAAAAAGTCTTTCTTTGTACCAGCTTCGCTCTCGACCTTGCTCTGCATCGCATAGCATTACCACCTTCATCATTAGTATCAAAATTGGATTAAATTATGCAAAAACGTTTTATATCTACTATATAAAAATAAGTCGGGTCTGGTTTACCTTCCTGACGCTCTAGGTAACTCCAGAACGCACAAACCGATTTCCACGGTTTTGCATTCGCCGGAAAGGTCTCGGGCCCTGTGAGGTGGATACTTTTTGAAATACATCTGGGTTTGCTAGTTTAAACTGAACTGAAGTAGAACTGGAAAACAGACCGAACGCTACATTAAAACCATCTGATGAGGCAGGAAACTGTAACCTTCATGATATTAGGTACTTGTCTCAGAAATAAATAGTTTCAACTTCGGTCGGTAACCATTGTCTATGGAGTTTTAGTTTATAAACTAAATGTAAACAATCTTGGTATGTCTTTTTATCTAAAAGTTGTCTATAAATGGTAGGATTGTAAAATATTAAAATTAAGTAGATATTTAATACCTAATTTGTTAGGTCTAAAATAAGCTAAATGTATACAATTATGTCTATGTATTTTCCCCCTTACATATAATAAAAAAGACATACCAAGATTATTTACCCCTAGTTACCACCTAAACCGATAGACGCCATACATAAAAATAAGGTATTGTAAGGTAATATTATATTCACAAAAATTAACCTCACTTTATAGTTAAGTAGAACTCCGTACGAAAAAGCGAAAAAGTAGAAGTATTTTCTAAAAAAAGGTACAAAGCTTTTGTTTACATTTTCAGTAATATATACAGGGTGTAAGGGACAGCCCTCCACAAATTAACAGGGTGCATTCAGCTCCTTATTCTGAATCATATTCCAGTGAAAATTCTTTCAGGAAAATTTTCGTTGTTTCAGTTCCTACACCTCTATTTCAATGTATAATTACATTCTATGTATGAAGAATAACATTAATGTAAATAACACAGCTAAAACAAAAAAATACGCAATGGTTGTGTGAATTCTCTAAAGAACTACGCATGAAATCAGCTGTTCAATTTCTACCTAGCGCGAGTCGTTTGAACTCACCGCACCGCGGTCACGGCGCAGCGGCTCGGCGCCCCACCGCGCCGATCGCCGCGCCGCGCGCCGTAGGTATAATACCTACGATCCTGTCCAACGTACAGAATAGCTGCGTCCCTTTCTATCGCCCCGCCTCCGCGTCTCCCCGTCTCCCCGATTCTTTGCACAATGTTTGCCCGATT